GAGACTTGTTTTGCCTATGATGCCTCTATGTTACTATATATAGCGACATGATCATCGGGTTTATAAAGCTGCTTATATTATGAAATTCTGCCATTTTTTTTCGAGTCAATGAAAACCCGTAGGAATCTGCTATATCATCGTTCTAGCTCTGGTGGTAACTTCTGATACAGATTATCCCTTTCAGTAAACTAGTAAAAAAAGCAGACCTTATAAACACACTTTGTTTACAAACTCCAACTCATATCTCATATTTAATATCTTAAACAACAATTATATAATCAATTTATTATTTCCCTCCGCTATATTTTATCAAAATTTATCTAGCAATGTGCTGTTCTCTTGTGTGTCTTTTGCACAACTTATACAGCTGGAAATATTACTGATAAATGTTGCAGTTGCGATGTGAAGCTGGACGTGTTTGATGCCCGTTAATTTGCCTGATGATTCAAAGTTGTATACATTGTTCTCATTTGAGAACGTGACATTACTTAAATTGACCGATGTTTACATGACAGGTGTCGTCGATAAAGCAGAAGACGCTAATTCTTCCTGAACCTATAGTCTTTTTGTCCTTGTACTATTTCAGGGGGTCACCATGTGAATCTTTTTGTCGATATTTTGCCTTAATCTTATTGAAATTGAGCTTGGATTATGATTATGTTGACATTTGGGTTTTTTTTAAATAACCAATAGAATTATGAATAAATATCTCTCATAACTATTTCTTCTTTGTAAAAGTGTTACTGTATTTGATATCAAACATATTCTGTATAAATCTATCTATTGTCGTATTATTTTTTTATGATATAAAACCTAAACGTGGCCTCAGCTGGCAGATTGCCAGCTCCATTGTTGAGGCTGAAGAAATGTTTCGCTAAATTGACACTTCCTCTAACGTTCGTTATGTGTGGGGAAACCCCGCTAATTGAATGATATCTCGCACTGGTACATTCCTATCATAATACTGTCAATAGTGTCAACCAGCTCTCGTGTCGTGACGGCAATTATAAAACTCAGGACAAATTGACAGATATTTTGTGTACTGAATGGTTATTAAATGTCGTTCTAGAAAGATTGTTTACAGGGACTAAATGGTTAGATTTCGTTACTTTTTTTTCGTGCATTTCATTTCGGGAAAGCGTTGTAATACTTAAAATAAGACTAGTCACAAAATTATGGCACTCTCTGAGGAAACTGATAAATATTATCAGTTTAAATCTTATGCTAGTCGACACTCACTGTTGTGTCTACCACATATCGCTGTTTTGATCGGAGATTTCATCACGTGACCTTTCGAAACCTCGTTTTAACCCGCCGTTTTGTTATGATTTCTAAATATGCACGCACAAAGACATTGTTTACACTCTCCGAACGATAATGATATGAATTAGGGTTGGGTCGCTCCTATTTTATTTTATTTTTTCTACGTTTTTAGTGAAATGGTCATGCCAAATTTTGAATTATCATGATTAACACAAATTTAAAGTGCACAACTTTCAACACATATTTAAATATCATAATGTGTTTTATCAGTTATGAAATAAACATCTAACCATTTAGTCACTTTAAATATTTTCTTAGCTCTACTTATAATACCTACCTTATCTGTACCTCGCTGATTAGATTTAGGACACGGCACCACTGACGGTAGTATCTGTGTGTAGTATGGAAACACGTTAGAGCCATACTGTAAATTGTTTTCTGTTACAAATACTTCCGACACTTATGGAATCTTATTCATTTTTTTATTGTCTACATACAAAGCCGGTCATTCAAACACACAACTCACCAATGCAACAATATGTCTTAATGTAACAAACAACATTACCTTACTAACTGATTGACTGACTGGATAGCTGGCTAATTAATCTGAATAACTGACTGACATAATGGTTAGCTGGCAAAATTAACTGACTCAAGCAATGTGTTTCTCTGACCTAATCCTATTTCAACAAATTTTGCGGCGCAGTTCAAGCAGCAATACTGGTCCAGCGGACGGTCAATCATTTGCATGAAAGTCAGCTAGGAACATATTTTGGTGGGTTGGTGTGTTTAAAACTATTTTATCTGACATATTGATGTAAAAGTTGCATTTTATCACAAGTGTTAAAATACTTATTAATTAAAAAACTGAAAAGGAAATATTGTTTCAAAGTTGTAACATATAAGTGTCTATTCAAACGCTGACTTTTCAGACATGGTCTGTTTCAGATTGCTAGCAATACTACATATCGGACCTTGTTTGAATCTTTAACTCTTGTTGTGAGAATTTCCTTTTCCAAGAAAGGTGAATGACGATACAGATATATAGTTGTAAGCTATAATAAAGCATATTTCGTGAATATTCAGGGAATAATTGAGTATCTAGTTGACAACATTTTCGTCGAGTTTGGTGGTAAGATCTCCCAACAGACTATTGCCATACATGTAGGAAGTAGCTGTGTCCCTCAGTTGGCCGACTTGTTTTTGTTTTATATGAGGCTAAAGAGCTTATCAAAACAGGTCACAAAGACCTTGCAAAGCCGTTTAATTTCAATTTCAGATATATTAATGATTAAAAAGGTCACTATTTATTTTCCTTTTTGTTTTTATTTTTTCCTGTATTTTTTATATTGCCATTTCTCTCTGGTAAATGTTGGATTGTTGTGTTAGATTATGTTAACACGTTTCCTGTCAGTGTAGGTACATTAGACATATATCTCGTTATATACATGTGTATAATCAGTATAGCAGTGGCCTTTAATCCATTACTTCACTCTTTATCCTGCTTTCTGAGATACATTTATCAGGATTTTTATCAGGCAAATTAGTGAATGCAGTCTGAAGGCCTCTGTATCAACAATATATATATACTGAGAAAATGTACATCCTCCAGTACAATAGCTATGTAGGGTCCCAAAAATAAGAATCATGCCAACATTAAAATTAAATATTAAAACAGATATTTTTCCAATGTTCATCAAGCAATACTTCGAAATGGTAAACATTATCTACATCGATAATATGTTGTAGTAAATTATTCTATATATCTACTATTCTATGACTAGAGATATTCTTCCTTATATCCAGGTTACAGCGATTTTTTTTTGTTTTTTTGTTTTTTTTTTTTGTTTTTGTTTTTTTGTTTTGTTATGTTTTTGTTTAATCTTTTATGAATAACTCCTTGTTCGGCTTGAAGTGTCCATTTGGAAAAAAGTTTTCTGTCACTCTATAATCAAAAAGATGTTAAAAGTATATATGATATCTCCTCTGATTCTGCGACATTGAACTGTTGGGAGATTTAATCTCCTCAAGCATTCTTAGTTCGATAAGTTCTGAAGTTCAGGGATTAGCTTGGTAGCCCTCCTCTGTACCTGTACTGCATACTCTAGGTGAGGTCTAACAAAGGCTTTGTACAACAATCCGAATATTGACTCATCAGGATAAACAAATGATCTGATTAGTGGAATTATACTATTTGCCTTATTAACAATATTATGTATGTGTGCTTAACTCCTCATCGATAGTTACGCCAATATCCTTCTCGTGGACTACATTTTCCAAGTGGATCTTAACCCCTCCTTGTCGAGGCACGAGACATTTCCTTTTCTTCAGAACCTTTTATTGACATAACCTTACATTTGTTAGGATGAAATTTTAAAAGCCATTCAATTGACCAAATATGGAGTTTATCCAGGTCTTCTTGGAGCGTTTTAACATCTTCGTCGCTTTTTATCTGCCTGTATATTTTCGTATCATCTGCTAATAGCGGCAGTGAAAAGTCTTTATTTCTGGGAGGTCATTGATATATACTATAAATACCATTGGCCCAAGAATGCTTCCCTGAGAAACACCACTAATTACAGGGTATGTTCTTGATGATTGGCCGTTTACAATAATACGCTGAAGTCTGTTACTTAGAAAGTCCTCTATCCGTTTTACTACTTTCTGACTTGTACCATCTCCTGCCAGTTTAACAGCCGTTTGTGTGGAACTTAATCGCATGCCTTCATAAAGTCCATGTAGATGGCATCTAATTCGCTCCCGCTATCTATAATATCCGTCCAGTCCTCCAGAACAGTTAGAAGCTGGAGCTGCGTTGATCTTCCCGTGGTAAATCCAAATTGTCTTGGGCTTAGTACATCTTAGTACTGTTTTTTTCTTCTAGAGTTCTTACTTGTTAGACTGACTGGTCTATGTAGTTACCTGGGCCTGACTTCGCTCCCTTTTTGAGTATGCTAATTATGTTGGAATCTTTCTATTCCTGTGTAGCTTTCAAAGTTTTCAAGTGAGTGGTTAAATGTATCTGTTAATGGTGAACTAATAGTTTGCCTTAATTCTTTCAACAGTTTTGGATGCATTTTATCTGGTCCTTTCGATTTATTTTATTTAAATTTGCCAAAAGTTTTTCTATCACTTGGGCATTGCAAACAATATTCTTGAAAGGGTATTTCATATATTTTTTTTTATCTGGTATTTTAAAAATCATATGATTTCATGGTGATATTTTAAGATAAGATAAGTTTATTTCCGGTCCAGGGCGTGCTTGAGTCCTCTATACCAGACTCAATAATTTTGTTGTGTTTAATATCATACTGGTTGATTGTCGTAAAAATCGCTCGCTTACCTAAAGTGACTTGTTTCAAAACACGACTTTACACAAATCTTATTTGCGGTTATATTGCTGTCACCAAATGCTTGGGATTCGACATACGACTGGTACGAGCACAGTCGTCAGAAAGCTTTAGAATGTTTTCTAAGTTTGCCAATATATGTTTTATCTTGGGATTAATTTCTGACGGAAAGCTCAACTGAACTTTAAGTTCACCCAATGTTTAGAAAAAGCTAAATTTAATATTTCTGTGTTCCATTCTTTATAAATTGTGTCATCATCGAACGCATCCCTTAAGCTTGGGTGATCGTTACTATTGTACCTCCTTTGAGAAAAGAGCTACAAAACTATGAAATGTCTGCTAAATATTCCACAGAGGGTATGCCACAGGAATCAGACGTTCTAGACTGTATACGTGAAATATAGCTATTATACTGCTTTCCTATAGGCAACCCCTGCTATTTTAGTAATATAAAAGCAATGTTTCACATATAGAACGTCCGGTTCCTGTGGCACTGCCTAAGAAAAATCTCTGATCGAGGTAAGTGTTATTTAATATCAGTATACGACACGTGTTTTTCTTTTCATTTCTCTAAATTACATGCCATCGAATGTATTACTGCATGTCGTTTTCAATTCAGCGCCACATAATTTTCAGACCTACTTATATCTTAAACAATTTGCCTTCTCCACTTTTGCCTCTCCTGGGCTGACAAGGACTTGTTCTAATATTAAAGCGCGGTCTTAACCCCTACTCCGGCCAATAAAAGAACATCGCAATGCATGGTGTCAGTGCTACAACACTGTCGCTAATATGAATATATATAAGATGTTTAATCTGATGCAGTTATTTTCACAGTTTCTATTCGTAAATGGTAACTACAGTTATATATATGCTACAACTGTAACATTGAGGCATTTGCAACAAGTTGTGTGTACTATGTTATTTTAATTTCAGGAATTCAAAGAAGAGGATTTGCTCCAACAGTGTCTCGAGTAAACAGTACTTGTTCTGTACATTTGGTAATAAGAACATAACAAAAATTATCTTGGCATTACATAAAAGTTTAAATAAAAATTCACATGGTGATTTATAGTCATAAACAAACTCGACAGCCCTGGTTATACCAGAGCCGTTTAATTCACAGCTCAAGGGATAAGAAACTAGGCTCTGTGGTGACTTCTCAGGTGTTAGTTTTTTAATTGGTTCACAGGGCCATGAAGCTGCGAAGCTCCCTCTTCTTTCTGCGGTTACCTAATCTTATCTACATGATTGTCTCTGATATAATTAGTAGTGACTTACATAGCCTTGACCAATCTGAGTAATTTTGTCCACAATCTGAGAAGTGACGCTCATTTTTGTAACAAAAATGATACTAATTAATGAAAGTAATGTATCACAAAATTTATGTGAGTCAGTCAGAAAATGACTCGGTTTTTCTATGTTATCAAGTTACGGAAGATTTTCTCCAACAGAAAGTGGTATAGTATAGGATAGTATTTTGGTTGTAAATATCTTTAACATGCGTTTTGTTTTACAAATATCAAAAGTTAACAAAAATTGTTTGTCACAATAGCTAATACTACAATCTATTTGAAAATTATTAAGCGTACAAAAACTGTTTACTTTGAAAAGATAAGTTGTGTACTTATGTAGAAAAATGTTTTGTAAAAGCAACAAGGCTAATGAACTTGATCTGTTCTTCGCTACAGCATTACAAAGATCAAAATCAATATTCGGCGATATTCGGCGTTTTAGTTGAGTCTTTTTTTGCCAAAATATGGAAACCACAAGCGTATGCATGGTGTACCCTCCTAAAAATAAGAACAATTAATGAGAAATAGGGACTTAACTTAAAATTGTATACAGCATCAAAAATTAGGTTGTCAATAAACAGATGAGCCCGATATGGTCGAAACCGGTCAGCAGTAGTAAAGTTTGTTGACAAGCTAATTTTTTGAAGCTGGTATATGTTGTGTTCACGCCTTATTTCTCATTTATAGCAATACAAAAGATACAGGCAATTTCTAATCCCTCTGTATTACACATCCCTTATACAATGTGAAGTGATTTAAATAATGTACTTAAACATCTTTAACTTACCAGTAACAGTTTAAAAGTGGGTTGTCATATCATCCGGTTTATTTAAACTAGAATAACAGAACAGGCAATAGTCAAGTCTCTATCATTTTGAAAAGAAAATTCACTACTACCATGGAATCAGGATTTGAAAAGGACTTGGTAGACGCATTGAAGAGTGTTGTAAAGGGAAGCAACTGGCAGTGTCTTGGAGATGTAGATCAGCTGAAGACATTGAAATGTCGACGGTAAGTCTGACGAAATACCAACAATTACATGAAATTTAAACCTTGTGATATATTGGTATCCATTAAATAGAGGCTTTGTTCCTTGAACCCAGCAAGGAAATGATGTAATCTTTTGTATCATGATACACCTCAGCATTAAATACATGTAAATAAGATTTTTAATTTCAGAGTCTTTTTAAGTATACAATGTAAGTAACAAGTAATTGTTTATATGTGTGTTACCTGTTTCAGTGTATACACAGACGAAGGAGATGATTTGGTTCTGATAAATGTTCAGAATGGAAAACAGTTTTTTGTGTTAGATGCATCTTGTCCTCATGAAGGTAATGTATACTGTTATACCCTATCTGTCTTATCAATACCTCAATGCATGACTGGTTGTGTAAGTCCACCTTTATTGTTATCAATTTCATAGGAATTTAGAAATATAGCAAATGTTTGTTGTCCTGAAATAAACCCGTTCTCTCAAGGTATTGTGTCTGAATTTATGTAGGCTTCACAGAAATAAAACTGGAATTCAACTTGACACTCTGTGTATGGAGGACCAGTGAGCTTATACCATGATACGGCATCTGTTGTTAGTCATCTTGCATCTAGCATCTATCTTCTTTTTTCTAATAATCACTACTGGTCGTGAACCATTGAACCGATTTTGCCCCAGTGTGGTCAGAAGTATCTTTTAAGGAAGCCAAACTAAGTTAATTTAAAAGATTGATTTCTGACCCTTGTTCTTGAGGGATGGTGCCCAAAATGGGAAATTCAGCAAATCCTTCAAAATCTGTTTTCTTCTGTATAGATTTTGGATTTTGTCCTGATTTATTCAGAAGCATCCTTGTGTCATTGAGAATCAGTTTTTATAAACAGTTGGTCTGGGCCCCAAGGGGCAGGATGGTTGGGGCCCAGTACAGTAAATAGAGAAAATTCTTAAAACCCTTGTTCACTGAGAATGTCAGGGTTTGAATCTGTCCTAATTTGGTCTGAATCTTGAGAGGGTGAAGGGGAATCAGTTTTATATTTATTAAACTGTTAGTCTTGGGCCCATAGGGGCAAATGGGGTGGGGCCCATAACGGGAAGAGAGCCAATTCCTTTTAAATCCTTCTTCTTTGGTAGGAGTTTCAGGATTCTATTCCAATTTGGTCTAGCTAGCGATTTTGAAGGGAAATCAATTTTGTATAAACATGTGATTTCAGCTCACTAAATAGAGCAAATTCTATTGAAATGTCAGAATTCTGTTCAAGTGTGGCCTGAAGCATGCATGGATGAAGGAGACTTTGTATAAAAGATTAAGCTGACTCCTTGAGGGCAGAGGGTGGAGCCCGCTGGGGAATAGATATAAAGTTATAGAATTCCTTTTCCTTTACTTTTGATATGCAATTTCAGCCAAATCAAGTCAAAGTTAGCAATGGAGGACCTTTTGGCCTCTTGTATTATGTATGTATCATTGTTAATTTATGTTCTCACTTTTGAATCAATTCAAAAAGTGCGTTTTTCAATTTATTTAGAAAAAAAAAGTTTACTGCAAATGCTACTTTTTTGATGGTTCAATTTTTTTGAGTTTTACTAAAATTTTGGAGCAAAATAAATGGACTTTTGGTGAAAGCTAAAAAATGGACATTGGTTTGTGCTATAGATATGTTTTTAAATTTATGTACAATGTACATTGCATTTTTCAGTTTAATCAATTCTCAAAGTTAGCTAATTAAGAAAAAAAACAATAACAACCTCAGCGGTAATTTCACTTGATTAAAAGTAAAAAGTAAATGTGATATTTATCAGGCTGTTTACACATGTCTTGTAATAAGCCCACCCTTAAGCCACGTTATTAAAGGGACTAAATGGTTAGATTTTGCTATTTTTCCCCAGCATTTGATTTCGAGAAAGCATTGTAATACTTAAAATTAGACTCCTCACAAAATTATAGCACTTTCTGAGAAAAATTTACAAAGATTATCAGCTTCAAAGTAATGCTTTTTGACACTTCGTGTTTTGTCTAGCACCCATAGCTGTTTTGATCAGAGATAGCCAAGTTCTTCATATGCCCTTTTGGAGCCTCTTTTTAACTCACCCTTTTGATAGGATTTCTTACTATGTATAATCAAGAAGTTAGCCAAAACTTAACTTGTCACCAGTGTTTCAATTCTTACTTTGTGAAATGGCCTCTTGTGTCATGCTGTACACATGACAGAGGGAAATAAACAAATTTGAATTTATCTGCAAGCACAAAGAAATTGTTTACTTTCTCTGAACGATAATGATATAAATTATTTCTTGTTTAATTATGGGTCGCTCCTATTTTTTATTTTTTAGTCAAAAAATGGTTATGGAAACTTTAAATTATCATAATTAATAGAAAGTATATATAAATGTTCTAATTCTTTTTATCAGTTATGAAATGAAAATCTAACAATTTAGTCCCTATAAAATGAATTGTATATCAGTGCTATTTTCTTGTTCTCCTTTACGCAGGGTATGAATTTGAATTATTGTAAGATAAATGCGGTAATACATTTTTTTTTTGAGTAGGTGGTCCTCTTGATGAAGGTGACATTGAAGACATAGATGGACGTTGGGTCGTACTGTGTCCATGGCATTTCTACGATTATGATTTAGAGACTGGCAAATCATCTTCTGGTTTGGTGGTAAGTAAGATTGAACTAAAGCTATCTAAATCTTGTCTATATGTAATATATTAAGTCATAGAGATTGTTGTCAGGAGGTTTAATTTCATCCTTTGTCAGCTGGAAAAATAATACAAACCTTGTTATACAGCCATCAGTGTACAGTAAAACCTTGTTATACAACCATCAGTGTACAGTAAAACCTTGTTATACAACCATCAGTGTACAGTAAAACCTTGTTATACAGCCATCAGTGTACAGTAAAACCTTGTTGTACAGCCATCAGTGTACAGTAAAACCTTGTTGTACAGCCATCAGTGTACAGTAAAACCTTGTTGTACAGCCATCAGTGTACAGTAAAACCTTGTTGTACAGCAATCAGTGTAAAGTAAAACCTTGTTGTACAGCCATCAGTGTACAGTAAAACCTTGTTGTACAGCCATCAGTGTACAGTAAAACCTTGTTATACAACCATCAGTGTACAGTAAAACCTTCTTATACAGCCATCAGTGTACAGTAAAACCTTGTTGTACAGCCATCAGTGTACAGTAAAACCTTGTTATACAGCCATCAGTGTACAGTAAAACCTTGTTGTACAGCAATCAGTGTAAAGTAAAACCTTGTTATACAGCCATCAGTGTACAGTAAAACCTTGTTGTACAGCCATCAGAGTACAGTAAAACCTTGTTATACAACCATCAGTGTACAGTAAAACCTTGTTGTACAGCCATCAGTGTACAGTAAAACCTTGTTGTACAGCCATCAGTGTACAGTAAAACCTTGCTATAGAGCCAGCATTATTCAGTGAAACCATGTTGTATTGCTGCCATTGTCCTGTTCAGTTTTTGGTATTTAAACTCACCTGGCTGGGAGGATGAAATGAGCTATTGACATACTGTGATGTCTGTTGTTTGTCCTTCCATCAACTTTTTAATCGCTGCTAGTCATAAATGATTACGCCAATTTTGACTGGAGCATTCTTTGGTTTAGGGGAACAAATTATGTATAAACGGTGGATCTCGGCCCTTGGGAAGGGAGAGGCAGCGCCCAACTGGGGAAATTGTGCAAATTCTCTAAAATCCTACTCCTCCTCTAGGAATGGCTGAATTTTGTGCAAATTTGGTCTGAAGCATTCTTGGGTGAAGGAGAATTAATTTTGTAAAAATGATGTGTCTTGGTCCCCAGGGGCAAGGTCAAATATTGGAAATGAGACAAATTCTTTAAAATCCTACTTATGCTGTTGAAAGATTTGGTCTGAAGTATGACTGGTTTGGTTGACCCCTAAGGATAGAGGGTTGGGGTCCAATAGGAAAGTAAGTTTGTTTTGTATTGTGTGCTTGAACATTTACAATTCCTTTTCCTTTAGTTTTAATGAAGCATTTTCAGCCAAGCAAAGCCAGGTGAGCAATACAGGCCCTATGGGCCTCTTATACATAGCTTTTAGCTGTGTGTATATATGTTTGTACTTGTATTTAGAAAGATAATTTGTATACAGTTTGTCATATACATGTAGATATTTTCTGTTAATGAAACCTTCCCAATATTTTCCTGTAAAGTAGCAACATCTCGCTACCTAAGAAAACTCTCTACCAATTCTAGATTAAAGGGAAATTTCTAGCAGCCAAAACTGGTAAGATAGTTTGTAAGTTACTTTTACTGTCATTAAAGTGTGAATAAAGTTGAAAAACTAATATGATGTTTACGTTGGCCTTACATTTTCAGCAAGACACTTACCCTGTGGAGGTGGTGGACGGCAAAGTGTACATCAACACAGACAGAAATCTCTCCCTACATCCTATAAAGACTAAACAGTTAACTACAGGTGTGTTATTTCTGTATCTCTACATTACAAGTTGGTCTGTATTTTTCCTTCCTTAATTGTATACATACCTAAATCTGTACATATTGTTAAAATATTTCTTAGAAATTTCAAATTGGAAGACATTTAAGACTTTCCCTTCATTTAAATGTTAATACATTCTTCACCTTGGGAAACAGCTTCCCTGCAGTTTTGATGATTTGTAGTGCAAACACTGGAAAATGTAAGTAGCGTGTTTATTTGTGTTAGTTTGAGTTGCAGTGTTTTTGTTTTTGTATTTTGTGCAAGTACATTGTAGTACTACTATCTATAAAAGGATTGTGTCAGAAGAAATGGTGACCTATTGACCTCTGATCGCCTAGTTAATGTGTTACAAATGAGTCATTTAACTGACCACCAAAGTTTAAATCTCCATTGATTTTTTATTTTCGTTTATTTCTACTAGATCCTGGTGTCACCACTGATAGTATAACAGTAAAGGAGGATGACAACAGTCTGACCTACTGGGCTGTTAAAATTCTACAGACGTCAAACCCTGAAGAAAAGGTCAGTTGTCTCCCTTAGAGAGTCTATTGCCTCTTAGTGAAGTTGATTTTTCTGTGTAAAATCTGTCGTCATGGAAGGGACTACACTAAATAAAGATCCTTTTTAGGACATTTTGTTTTTATTTGGGTTAGTAATGTTGGTAAAATAACCATTCTTCAGCAGAATTAGAATGTTATATTTTGATGACTGAACATCTTCATCAGACAAATGACCAGTGTGAAGCGTACTAGCACTGACGTACGTAGTGTGCGAGATCTACACAGTCATCGTCATCAGACAAATGACCAGTGTTTAGTGTACAAGCACTGACGTACTTAGTGTACGAGATCTACACAGTCATCGTCATCAGACAAATGACCAGTGTGGAGTGTACTAGTACTGACGTACTTAGTGTACGAGATCTACACAGTCATCGTCATCAGACAAATGACCAGTGTGAAGTGTACTAGTACTGACGTACGTAGTGTACGAGATCTACACGGTAACCTTCATCAGACAAATGACCAGTGTGAAGCGTACTAGTACTGACATACTTAGTGTACGAGATCTACACGGTAACCTTCATCAGACAAATGACCAGTGTGGAGCGTACTAGCACTGACGTACATAGTGTATGAGATGGTAAGAATTTTTTGCAGCGGTACTCTAATCCTATGTATGCTAAGGTTGAAAATAGTGTGATGAGATGGTAAACAGATTATAGACCGAAAAAACACAAGATGGTATATATATATAATAGCTAATTAGTCTATGTTTTGTTTTTACACTTTATCATAGATACGTGAGAGTCTGTGGGACCCCTCGTCTCTGTTTAGTACGGACCTGCTGTGCTATTGATCCCTTACCATCTCGTACACTATATACATTAGTGGTAGTATGCTTCACACTGGTCATTTGTCTGATGAAGGTGACTGTGTAGTCATAGAAACATCACACTCTAATCTTCTACTGATTGTGTTATAAGATGAAGGGGGCCGTGTAGTCATCAAAACGTCACACTCTAATCTTCTACCGGTTGTGTTATAAGAAGAAGGTGACTGTGTAGTCATAGAAACGTCACACTCTAATCTTCTACTGGTTGAGTTATAAGAAGAAGGTGACTGTGTAGTCATAGAAATGTCACACTCTAATCTTCTACTGGTTGCGTTATAAGAAGAAGGTGACTGTGTAGTCATAGAAATGTCACACTCTAATCTTCTACTGGTTGTGTTATAAGAAGAAGGTGACTGTGTAGTCATAGAAACATCACACTCTAATCTTCTACTGGTTGTGTTATAAGATGAAGGTGACCGTGTAGTCATCAAAACGTCACACTCTAATCTTCTACTGGTTGTGTTATAAGATAAAGGTGACCGTGTAGTCATAGAAACATCACACTCTAATCTTCTACTGGTTGTGTTATAAGGTGAAGGTTACGTCACACTCTAATCTTCTACTGGTTGCGTTATAAGAAGAAGGTGACTGTGTAGTCATAGAAACATCACACTCTAATCTTCTACTGGTTGTGATATAAGAAGAAGGTGACTGTGTAGTCATAGAAACATCACACTCTAATCTTCTACTGGTTGTGATATAAGAAGAAGGTGACAGTGTAGTCATAGAAACATCACACTCTAATGTACTTCCTTTTTGTATCCTTGGAATACAATGTATACACTCCCTGAACATTGTTCCAGAAGTGTTAACACCATCAACATCTTTGATAAACAGAAAAATATTGTCTGATTTTATTAATGGTTCTAGTACCTTCTTAGTTCAATTAATTTTACTGAAATCAAGAATAAGGATCACATGACTAACCTGGAGCCTTTAGACTTCAGTTTTGCTGTGACATAGTCATGTGAGCAGATAATGATGTGTTCAGTAAGAGAAGAGCCATTGGATTGTTATATTGTCATTTAAATACAGACAGTTGATAAAGATTTTGATGTTTGCTACCACAGGCTAGACTCACTTTGGAAATAGGAGAGCTCTGGAGATCAGGGAAGATAACTGGGATAGGTAATAATTCTCCACCTGATCAACCTTCTCGTGATCCTCAGCTCAGCATAGTAGCTCCTGGAAAGGAGAACAAGCGTGGAAAGGGAGCAACACAGGTTGGTACATAAATTTCAGCTTTTCTTGATAACTCATGAAAACAATATATTACTTGTAGTTTATTTTTTGTGAATTTGAAAAATAACGAGAAGTTCTGTGTAATGTTTAGAGGATAGATGAAATAGCTGTATATTGATAAGAGGATTTGACAATAGTCTTCTGTTTCTAAAAAAGTTATATTTTACCATTCACTAAGGTGTTTGTTATGATATGAAAATATTAGCAGATACATAGATAATTACCCATTTGTGTAAAAATGTTCAGCTTTAATTAATTAAAATGATATGATAATTGGAATTATAACAAATGTTCAGATTATATTCATAAAAAAACACAGATATTTTATGTTACGGAGATAAACTTTATCACAAATTTTACATCATCTTGATATACAATGTGATTATGATAGTAAACTTAGTTTTATGTGAAATTATATCCGATGACTTCAAACAAATGTTTATATTCCAGTTAAAAAACATTTATGCTAATTTGTTCCATCTCAATGATGATGAAATCCAATTTGTACAAGACAAAACATGTAAATGAGAAATTTTTGTTAACTTGACTTTATACTTTTCAGAGCAGTCGTATAGCCAACCTTCACTCTCTGGCTAACATAGAACAGTGGGCCATTGACCTGTCCTGGGATATTGTGGCACGTTTCCCATGTTGGCCCAGTGACGTGGTGACTGACCACACCACAGATGTTCTACAACTACCTAAAGCATTTTTTGATGACTTTATTCAGGTTGCCTGTGATGAAGCAAAGGTTTGTAATTATAGATGATAATAAATAAAGTCCAGAATCTCCACTTGATTTAACCTTTAACTTGTACTACATCAACTTTTCGGGGTGATGGTTTATGTAAGTACTTGTGAAATAATTCTATTTGGTTCCTTTTTCCATGTTTTCTTTTGTGGTTTTTTTTTCACCTTTTATCATTTTCCATAAAATTTATTTCTACTGATAAATATTTTTTAATGAATTGTTTGCCCTTACATATATCAGATGCAAATTGCCAGCTAGCTTTTAAAGAAAATTAGAAAAAATCATAAACAAATTTTTACAGTTGTTTGAAAATACTGCAACGTGTCAATCTTTTCCAATAAATAGAACCAAAGTATATATCTCTAATTTGATTTTGAGGACAAAAGATAGTATTCAATATTGTCAAGAATCCAAATGATCTAGATTCACATTATATTTTTGCAGCATTTCCTGTTACTGTCAAACAGACTGAAAGATCTGAACAGCCATTTTGGTGCCTTAACTGTACATAATGGTAAGGTTTGTCAGAAATAAATCAATATAATCAAACAATTAGTGCATTTAAGACCACCCTACTGTACACAGCCACAGACGTACAGATCTGTGAGATGACATTCATACATGGAGCACCATTCCTAGTCTTAATGATCAATGAATCCTCTAAAATGTTCATCATTTCAAAAATTGTAATTGAATGTCCACATCTATCAAGAACCGTGCCCGTATTCATGAAACCATTCTCATGCTCAACAATGAATTTTGTGCTCAAGCCTTATGTCTTATTTAAATTAAAATTTAATAAATAAGACTTATTTTGCCAAAGATTTAGTAAGAAATTTGAAAGGACTTCAAGTTAAAATTACGTTCATTGTTTATATTTAACATTTGTGTTATTTTATATGATTTAGGTGAATTATAAAAATCTATTCTTGAGCATGAGAACGGTTTCATGAATATTGGCCCAGGTTTTCTCATTTGTAGATTAAATATGTAAACTTTCCATATGGAGGTCTATGATTACACTTTGAGTTTGCAGTCCCCTATTGAGATTCCGAGGAGATGAAATGAATAACACAGTGCACGGATTGTGTTTACAGGGCTCTGGGAATCAGCCACTGAGACAAGGGACTCTCTGCTAGCTAGACTTGCTATAGTTCATATGGTACATGAAGCTCGGTAAGGTTGTGTTAACATTGTACTTGACTAATCCACTTCCTTTAGAGAAAATGAAAATTGAAAAACTGGAAAATGTGAAAGAAACATACATAACATGCTCCTGCTTATAGCTAAACAGATATAAACACAAAGTCTTCAATATCATCAGTCTGTATATATTTTAGGTCACCTGAGACAAGCCTTCCATACACTGTTGTGTGTGTCGTGCATTTTCGATAACTTCCTAAAAAAACACTGAACAGATTTCAATAAAATTTTGCAGAATCATTCATGGATCAAAATTGTGAACTATACAGCCCCCCCCTCCCCCCAAACACACACACACCCCCAGGGGTCTGAGGAATTAACTTTTTAACCCTGTAAGTAACTCTATAACGCTGTGTAAACCTTTCTTTTGTTCATACTTTGCCCTAGTTTTATTAAGCTGGAGTTTGGATTATGTTCACATGTTGGGATTTTCTTATTGATTTTTTTTCTTCAGTGGACTGGATGTTCAGCCTAAGACACTGGCTAAATTTGCCACTCAGAAGGACGTGAAATCAGTGGACGTTTTAAAAGTAATCTACACAGACGAAATAACACATGTGGCAGCTGGACTGCGATGGTTTACATATGTTTGTCAGCACCACAGTCCCCCATTGGTAAAAACTTAACATTTATACTCAATCATACACTGACAATTTTAAAACTTCATTATGATAAAATATGGTTGTTCTATTGGTACGGCTGACATTTCAGCACCTAAAGTTTCCTTATCATAACTATTTTATCTTAACAAAAGGTTGGGAAATATGAGTAAATATTTCAAACTATCAAAGAATGTACAAAAATCGCATAAGTGATTATCATTAATAGGACTATTAATGTTCAGCCTACAAATTCCTTCATTATTTTACTGAAATATCTGTAGATATGTTTTCTGCAACAATGAAAAGATAATTTTGTATTTCAAAATTCATAATTACAGCCATTGCCCAGTGTGTTTGCTTTGTTTAGTTTCAGACAAGGAAGTGGGCGTGTTTATTTCGGGTCATTGATTAGCGTACTCCACTCTCTTGATACTCATTTTTCATTGGCAGTTATTTCCATGTGAGGGTCAAACTGGTCTATTCAGTCCAAATTTCATGCCAGTTTTCGCCAGTTTTATCCTAACCGATTGAGACTTCCAGATGGTCTCCTTCTTAATTTGTCATATCTTGGCAAGGGAAGATAATTTTCCTTAGTGAGAACCAACTCTGAGTGGTAATATGAGCTACACATGTAACTTGTCTTACTGTCTTCTGTTTTCAGGAGTGCATCCCTACTTTTCATGACATGGTGAAAAAACATTTTAGGTAGGTTAAAGGAATATGGCAATAACTTATTACAGTGTATACCAGTGTTTAAATATTGTTTAGTGTCAGAGTTAACTCCCTTTGAAAGATAAAATGATTATAGTGTGATTAGATGTATGTGTTAAATTGTTGAATATTGAATAAAAAATATTGTTTAAATAACTAAACTTTTACACAAAAGTCTTCTTTGAGGATGAGAATTATATATACATATTCAAATATAAAAGTTGAATTCTCAGTGTTCGATGAAATGTATAAGAATAACTTAAAACAACACGTCGAAGTAAGCATTAGCACTTTCATTCCTGAATCTTCATGATGCTCAATAAATTGCGTAGAAATTGTTTCTAGGCAATTCATTAATTCTATATATTATTCTAATATTTATGTATATATACATATTTATATATATGACATGAAATACCTTATACTTCTCAGAGGATATTTGAAGCCACCTTTCAACACCGAGGGTCGTGACACAGCAGGCATGGGACCAGAGGTAAGAACAAGTTTGTATAGATGTATGTGATGAAGTAGTACATGTATACTTACATTTTACTTATTTTCTAGGTTGTACTGTACATGTATGGGTATGGGTTCACCTGCTCAAACGTGTTGGTGTGCCAAAGTTTAGATCCACCATTCACTTTAATCCATCAGGAGTGAATGATATTAGTTTATATAATGCACTTAACCAGTTTTTTATGAAATAAAGTTTATGCTGATGATTATGTAATCTATTCACTTACTGAAAAAGATGTCATATGTCAACCTCTATAGTTCCTCTACCCTGGACTCATCATACTGCGGTTTCTAACACTCGCTTCCTATCATAGGTGTTTTATGATTATTAAACATGGCCAGTTTAGCTTATGCTTCCCAATACCCAGCTTACCAAATGTCATGGTATCTGGCTTGTGGTTGCTGGGATGAAGACAATAAAGTTTGCAAAAAAAAAAAAATTACCTTGACCCTTACTTAAGGTCACAGGAGTCAAATTAATTAAAACATTTAAACAACTTTTTTCTAACTAACCAAAAGGTGCAGGATGCAGAAGCATGATGATAATTTCTTAAGTTAGTGTTCTTAGAATGATGCTGAACAAAGCCTGCAAAAATAAATGACCTTGACCCTTCTTCAAGGTCAGAGGGGTAATATTTGCTTAAACATTAAGACAACTTCTTCTGACTAGCTAAAATTTGCAGACGCATGGTATGTGGCTGACAGGTTGCTAGGATAAAACCCAACAAAGGTTGTGAAAAGAAAAGATCTTAAAAGAACTATATTCAAGGTCACAGGGGTCAGATTAGTTAAAACCTTTAAACAACTTCTTCAGACTAACAAACAACCAAGAAGGATAATACTTTGGCTGGCAGGTCTCTTGGATGAAGCACGACAAAATTTGCTAAAAAGAAATGACCATGAAGTATAATTATTCAAGGTCACAGGGGTCAAATTGTCAAAACCTGTAATAGATTTCTTACCAAAATTCCAAGAAGCATGACATTTGGTGGATGTTTCTAAGCCCGACGATTTTGAAGAAGAAAAGAAATGACATTTACCTATTATCCAAGCCATAGCTGCTATTGTTTAGAATATCGTATCAGACACAACTTTTTGTGTGGAAATTGATTGGATGTGCCCACATTGAATGTCAATGGTGTATGTGTTAATGTATAGTGATTGACAACAATTTTATTTTTTAATTACTACAAGATGGACTTACATATATAAATACACGTAAATCTCGAGTCGTTTGATAATTATTTACACTATTCTGTACATGATAAGATTTGAAATTTATTTTCATTTTAGAATTTATTGCTTTTTATTTATAATTGCAATTCATGTACTTATATTAAACCTAAATGTAAGTTTTATCAGATGTTCTTTAGAAACCTTCTATCATTTCAGTGGTATATGCCTCTAATAAAGCCACAGAGTTGATCCCAGGAGGGGGGACAACAAAGAGTTGACTCCGAAGGAAGGATGACACAGAGTTGATCCCAGGAGGGGGGACAACAAAGAGTTGACTCCGAAGGAAGGATGACACAGAGTTGATCCCAGGAGGGGGGACAACAAAGAGTTGACTCCGAAGGAAGGATGACACAGAGTTGATCCCAGGAGGGGGACTCCGAAGGAAGGATGACACAGAGTTGATCCCAGGAGGGGGGACAACAAAGAGTTGACTCCGAAGGAAGGATGACACAGAGTTGATCCCAGGAGGGGGGACAACAAAGAGTTGACTCCGAAGGAAGGATGACACAGAGTTGTACCACAGAGGAGGGACAATGCAGAGTTGTACCCAAGAAGAAGGGGGACGACACAGAGTTGCCCTCTGAAGGAGAGACAACACAGAATTGACCCCTGGAGGAGAGACAACACAAAGGGAGAGACAACATAGAGTTGACCCCTGGAGGAGGGGCAGCACAGAGTTGACCCCAAAGGAAGGATGACAACAGAGTTGACTCCTGGAGGAGGGATGCCACAGAGTTGACCCATGGGAAGGGACAACAGAGTTGACCTCTGAAGGAGAGACAACACAGATTTGATACCTGTAAGACAGGCAACATGATTAACCAATCACCATTGTACTACCGCTATCATTTCTGCTGGGCAGGAAATTTCAGTCGATAATATTTATATAATTAGGGATTTAATTAACTTACGGACTGGACAGTTTAAAGTGGTATGCATTGTTCATTATAATGATGTATCTGTAAATGTACATATTTCAGGGTAATCTTGTTACCCACTTTTTACACTAGAAGTATTGTACTAAACTATAACTGTTCCTCTGCAATTTCTGTGTGCCTCTGATGAAGAAAGTCGAATTTATCATTGTGCTAATTTCACAAGATGTGAAAATGGGGTAAAATTTGTTTTCACCAAACTAAATACATCCACAATATTTGTTACAAGTTTTGATTTAATTTGTTGTGAAGTGTATGTATACATGTATTCAGAAGTTTCATTGATAAACAAAAATATCCTTCATATGTCAATACGATGCTCAGTACTGGAATATATCAAACACCTTCAATTTATACAGTATGTATTTAAAGAATAAAATATTTCATCATCTCAGCAATTTGTTTCTTGTTGTCAAAATACAAAACTATTTTTATGTACTTTCTGTTACAGCATTGGTAAAATATTCTCTCAAAAATAAAAGAAAAAAAAAAGAAAAATGTACTGTCATGAAAACAAAACTATGAGTTCAGTAGGATATTGGTCAAAGGAAGTTAAATGTCTGAAAGACTTACACAAAGAAAGCAAATCTCCTTAATGTTCCAGCTGGCATCTTCTGCTTCGTGTAAGTCAAGGTCAAATCAAAGGAATGGAATATTCTCAAAAAGAGAGTTGGACACTATAAAATACACTAATAAATACCATCAAACAGCAAAAATCACGAAAATTGGACCAGTTGATGATGGCGACAATGAACACTTGTCTGTTGTCTCCATTTACCTATTACTGAAGCAGTCAATATCAAACTGAAAGAAGAAATGTAGTGCAGCATTTCCAATATAACAGACTTAATTTAAATTGTAGAGGCAAGTCTGATGCAGTTATTGATTGGTGAGATCAATCACAATCAAACGGGTATGTACATGTCCCAACTGAAGAAGGAGAAACTAAACCAAACCATAACTTAAACTGCACAAGAAGATAAACCAAACCATAACTTAAACTGCACAAGAAGATAAACCAAACCATAACTTAAATTGCACAAGAAGATAAACCAAACCATAACTTAAACTGCACAAGAAGATAAACCAAACCATAACTTAAACTGCAGAAGAAGATAAACCAAACCATAACTTAAACTGCACAAGAAGAAGATAAACCAAACCATAACTTAAACTGCACAACTGCACAAGAAGATAAACCAAACCATAACTTAAACTGCACAAGAAGATAAACCAAACCATAACTTAAACTGCACAAGAAGAAGATAAACCAAACCATAACTTAAACTGCACATGAAGATAAACCAAACCATAACTTAAACTGCACAAGAAGAAGATAAACCAAACCATAACTTAAACTGCACAAGAAGAAGATAAACCAAACCATAACTTAAACTGCACATGAAGAAGATAAACCAAACCATAACTTAAACTGCACAAGAAGATAAACCAAACCATAACTTAAACTGCACAAGAAGATAAACCAAACCATAACTTAAACTGCACAAGAAGATAAACCAAACCATAACTTAAACTGCACAAGAAGAAGATAAACCAAACCATAACTTAAACTGCACAAGAAGAAGATAAACCAAACCATAACTTAAACTGCACATGAAGATAAACCAAACCATAACTTAAACTGCACATGAAGAAGATAAACCAAACCATAACTTAAACTGCACAAGAAGATAAACCAAACCATAACTTAAACTGCACAAGAAGATAAACCAAACCATAACTTAAACTGCACAAGAAGATAAACCAAACCATAACTTAAACTGCACAAGAAGAAGATAAACCAAACCATAACTTAAACTGCACAAGAAGAAGATAAACCAAACCATAACTTAAACTGCACAAGAAGATAAACCAAACCATAACTTAAACTGCAGAAGAAGATAAACCAAACCATAACTTAAACTGCACAAGAAGAAGATAAACCAAACCATAACTTAAACTGCACAAGAAGAAGATAAACCAAACCAAAACTTAAACTGCACAAGAAGAAGATAAACCAAACCATAACTTAAACTGCACAAGAAGAAGATAAACCAAACCATAACAAACTGCACAAGAAGATAAACCAAACCATAACTTAAACTGCACAAGAAGATAAACCAAACCATAACTTAAACTGCACAAGAAGATAAACCAAACCATAACTTAAACTGCACATGAAGATAAACCAAACCATAACTTAAACTGCATAAACCAAACCATAACTTAAACTGCACAAGAAGAAGATAAACCAAACCATAACTTAAACTGCACAAGAAGATAAACCAAACCATAACTTAAACTGCACAAGAAGATAAACCAAACCATAACTTAAACTGCACAAGAAGAAGATAAACCAAACCATAACTTAAACTGCACAAGAAGATAAACCAAACCATAACTTAAACTGCACAAGAAGATAAACCAAACCATAACTTAAACTGCACAAGAAGATAAACCAAACCATAACTTAAACTGCACAAGAAGAAGATAAACCAAACCATAACTTAAACTGCACAAGAAGAAGATAAACCAAACCATAACTTAAACTGCACAAGAAGAAGATAAACCAAACCATAACTTAAACTGCACAAGAAGAAGATAAACCAAACCATAACTTAAACTGCACAAGAAGATAAACCAAACCATAACTTAAACTGCACAAGAAGATAAACCAAACCATAACTTAAACTGCACAAGAAGATAAACCAAACCATAACTTAAACTGCACAAGAAGATAAACCAAACCATAACTTAAACTGCACAAGAAGATAAACCAAACCATAACTTAAACTGCACAAGAAGATAAACCAAACCATAACTTAAACTGCACAAGAAGAAGATAAACCAAACCATAACTTAAACTGCACAAGAAGAAGATAAACCAAACCATAACTTAAACTGCACAAGAAGATAAACCAAACCATAACTTAAACTGCACATGAAGAAGATAAACCAAACCATAACTTAAACTGCACAAGAAGATAAACCAAACCATAACTTAAACTGCACAAGAAGATAAACCAAACCATAACTTAAACTGCACAAGAAGAAGATAAACCAAACCATAACTTAAACTGCACATGAAGAAGATAAACCAAACCATAACTTAAACTGCACAAGAAGATAAACCAAACCATAACTTAAACTGCACAAGAAGAAGATAAACCAAACCATAACTTAAACTGCACAAGAAGATAAACCAAACCATAACTTAAACTGCACAAGAAGAAGATAAACCAAACCATAACTTAAACTGCACAAGAAGAAGATAAACCAAACCATAACTTAAACTGCACAAGAAGATAAACCAAACCATAACTTAAACTGCACAAGAAGAAGATAAACCAAACCATAACTTAAACTGCACAAGAAGAAGATAAACCAAACCATAACTTAAACTGCACAAGAAGAAGATAAACCAAACCATAACTTAAACTGCACAAGAAGATAAACCAAACCATAACTTAAACTGCACAAGAAGATAAACCAAACCATAACTTAAACTGCACAAGAAGATAAACCAAACCATAACTTAAACTGCACAAGAAGATAAACCAAACCATAACTTAAACTGCACAAGAAGAAGATAAACCAAACCATAACTTAAACTGCACAAGAAGAAGATAAACCAAATGATGAACTGCAATGAAAATAGGACTATATGTTCAAGAAGAGTAGGCATCTTCTGATTCATTCAAGACTTGTGAAATTTGAAATGATGGAGTTTGAAGGTGGTATTTCAAAAATTAAAAGTTGATATAAATGAATTTAACATGGAAATGTTTAAGACTTTGTGGATAAATCTTCTTTATTCTAAAAAAGTCCCCTAGATACACCTGAGGAATCTACTAGCTTTTCATCCTTTATTTAGTTACATGACAAAGATCTAATAAAAACGAATCCAGTTCAAATTTGGAATTACTTGAATAGTTACATAATGCAAATACATGGTATTTTGTAAATAGTGGATTCTTTCAAGTGCAGAAAGTCCTGTACCAAGCGTGAGCTACTTAGCCTTCTCGGACATATGAATTTCGCTTGTTGTTGTATCCGACCTGGGCGTTCTTTTGTCTCGCATTTGATAACTTTATCTACAACCGTGCAGGAGTTACATTATCATAGGATAATTCTAACCATGAACCAAGTCTGTGCTCAAACTGGTCATGACGTTTAATTGTTATAGTACATAAAGTATTGTAGTTTACTCGGATGTAGAACAAGTTTTATGATAAAAAAAACATGACTGACATTTTCTAACAGATAACATACATAAACTTTACTACATACATGTATATGTTAACAATTCCATCAGCAATGTGAAACTTTTTTATTAAATACTGTTTTGATATCAGTTGATAATCATCATTTACTTAGCTATCTATATATAGTTGGTAATAGTTTATAACCTCATGTAAGTCAAAATTTGGACAAAATCAAACAGAGGCTGCCGTTTTTAATGTTACGTTCAGCATTGCCCTTACTACGACATAACAATAAATATTGGCGCAGCCAATGGAAAAAAAACTTATTTTTTCTTCAAAGAAAAAAAAAATTTTATCTGACAGCCACCAGATATCAATCTACATATTTCAAAACAGTTTTCTTCTCTGAGTTCAATTTTGCTTGTTAACAAGTTGTAAAGTACCCCAAGTTATTCTAAAATTTCAGAAGACGATTTATCTGAAATCATTAATCTTCCAAACATAAAGAGTTAAATAAAACACATGTCACAGATCTAGAGGTACATGTACATAAAGTGTAAGAAAAAGATGGAACCATAAAAAAGGTTGACTGTCAAATAAAAGCTAGACAAAAGAAACAGTGCAATACACTTCATACTTACAAACCTGTCACCAGCATGATAAAAAAAATAATTGAATAAATAATGAGTAAAAAATAAATAAATATGCCGACATGAAGTCTAGCTATGATAGACCAAGTTTATAACATTATTGTTTATTTCATGTATAATACAATGTATATCTAATCATTTCTATATTGGTATACGTAGATATCCGACATTCAGTATGAACACATGGTGTATTTGGTATTACGATACCAGATCAGATTGAGCTAGAAGGCTAATATATGTGCACGAATAGGATAAATTTACGAAACTGCGGCTACGCAGTCTTTTCTTTCGCGTAAGCGGCATTTCCGATTTTGTTGAAGTTGACAACCGGCAGGATGAGTTTAGCACTTCGGTAAGAATTTTAAAAGCTGTCTTATGTTTCAGTATTGACAAGCGTGAAGATAAAGAATGCATTGATCTTTCTAGTTAAGACAACCACAGTTCCATTTTGCATAATCTGTCTTTTATATTTGTCAGTTGTTGAATGCATTTTCGTGTTTTCACTTTTGACGTGTTGAAACAAGTTTGTAAACAAATGCATAAACTTACGTATTTAACATCATGCTTGCTTTCCCGGGAAGAACATGCGATTTTCAGTTATCGATTTTGATTTTAACGGTTCCACAATGTTCAATAAACTGTATGTAAATCTGAATGCGAACATAATTTTCTTTTGTTAGAAATGAGAACACACAAAACATATCTAGACCAAATTGACTGTACGATCTGAATACATTGTTGTATTCTGTAGCATTAATTTGTTGGTCAGTTATTGCTGATGGGAATTTTTCATCTCCTTAATACGCCTTCCCACCATAATGGCTATTGTTAGAAAGAAACACGCGTTACATAATGATTTTTGGGACTCGGATGTTAGAGCCCTGGACTCGTGATTTCGCTGTGGGACTCCCACATATATTGATGACCCATTATATATCTTAAAAATGGGACTCATCAAAATTTTAGAAGTGATCTAAGAATATCCAACAAAAGATAATGTACATATAACAATGGATGATGGGAAACTAAACAGAACTTATACAAGCTGTAAAAATCACACTTTAGATCTCCAATTAGTATGTAAGTATGTTGGAATGATGGAAAAGTTGTTCTTTCTATGCTGCATAGAACTTAAACCCTCTGCAAAATGTTCTCCATGTTATTGGTTGATTAGTTTATCGCCCTGTGAAAAGTCTGGGTCATTTGAGGGGGTTCTCCTTGTAGCAGGTGATAGCTACTTCAATGAGATTGGGGATGCCAGCAGTCATACTGCATGACACTCAGAGCAATCACTGAAATATGACTATATGTTCATTTGTATGTAATTGTTGAATGCTTTATGACTGTTTCCATTCATGAGTGATGGTATGTAATTTGTTTTAGTTCATTAATTAGATGATTACTAGGACATGATTATGTCAGATATGTATTTTATATTACTGACATTAATGTTATTTATCTTATAAAGTACTTTTTAACATGTTTAACATTTGTATATTTTTATCTGTTTTGATTAGGATTACCTACATACCTGCACATCAGTTACATAGAATAATACATGTTAATGTCAGGTACAACTAGAGGTAATTGTATTGTATTTGTATAACATAAGTGAACTGTTTTCATAGTCTTGTTCTAGTCGTTGGACACAAAACATGCCCAGTAGACCGGACATTACATGTACAATTTTGATTGGTTGGATTCTATCTGGAGGGAAAATGAAGGATGTTTTTAGTATAGGGGCTAGACTGTTGGTCAGCAAAGGAGAACAAGTTTACGAAGGGAAAACATCAGGTTTCAGAAGGAAGTAATATATTTCAGACAAAGGATTAAATGATCGGTATATAGAAAATGTAGAAGACAGGGAATTTGTCCAGAAAATGTAATTGGTAGGGAACCCAGAATATGAATATAATATAAACTTTATTTATTTTACAACAATTGCAAAACAAGTTATTTCAACTTATACTAATCACTCTTGTTGTAAACGCGGGAGGGGTCTTATTGTGGGAGAAAACCGGAGTATCCGGGGAAAACCACATGGATGGGCAGGTGACCCCTTACCTTTACACATCTGTTCTGGGAATACACGCCGCGAACGGCTAGGTGAATGGTGAGTGTGTTACCACTGTGCCACCCGACCACCCCAGAACCCCTGTACTATATACAGGGATTATATGATATATAGATTACTCGTTTGAAATAAACATTCATGAACCAAGTTGTGTGAAAATATTTTCATTCCAACACTATTACACATGTAGAAAGAAAAATATGAATGTGCGGCATGACAACTGCATCTTAATACCCATCCAATATCATATTGGTTTAGTTTTGGCAAAGTGTCTGTGAGGTTCACCTGCACATCTGCCAAGTGTTGAAAATTCATACTTAACATATGTACCTGGCTGTCGGGTCAATATCATTATGGAGTCATATAATTCTTCTATCTTTGATTTTGTATCACCTCAGTGATATGCAAGATAAATGACTTGTCAACATGTCGGAAATAATTGAAAGCAAGATTTTTAATTCTTTCTGGTCATTAGTCTGAATTGTTCTTAAGCTCTATAAACTTTTATATATTGGTTTGGAGTCGATGTATGACATCTACTTCCAACCGATTCATTAAAATCGATGAATGCCAGAATAATTTGAACTATCTGGTCATTTGAATAATTGTTTGTGTGATTGACAGAGCTGAGTTTGCGCTGGAGAAAGGCAAGAAAAAGAAGAAGAGGGAGTTAGCTGAAGAGCAGAAGCAGGAAATCAGGGAAGCATTCGACTTGTTTGATACAGACAAAGATCGCGCCATTGACTACCATGAGCTCAAGGTACTTGTCGTATAACTTAATGTTAGAATGTTTCAAAAATCTCTACTTCCTGTCTAACATGTAAGGTGGTGTTTCAGATCATTTTTTTGGTTTTTTTTTACTTTTCCTACTGGTAAAGGACAGAAAGGGGAGATTACTCCAATTTAAGATATAACAATATTTGTGTGCCATTCAATTTAATTGTATTGATATATGAAAGATAAGACTGTGAGATTGCTTGTTACAGACATACATAGATTATACAGGGTTTGAAAGTCTTTGATTCAGGACTTGTCAGGAATTATTATAAGATAGCTAGGTCATTTTGATCCATCAAAAACAGCTCCAACCCATCCATTTAATGTCTTATCTAGTGCATGACTATTTACCAAAGAAAAATAAAACCAATTGTCCTGTTGAATCAGTCCGTCAGTCTGAAAAGATGAAGCACTATATAGCGGTGGTTTTCAAAATTATTTATATTTATGTATTTTGTAGATCTGTGATAAATGGTCCCTAATGACTGATGTACATATGTATTTTGTAGATCTGTGATAAATGGTCCCTAATACCTGATGTACATATGTATTTTGTAGATCTGTGATAAATGGTCCCTAATAACTGATGTACGTTTGTATTTTGTAGATCTGTGATAAATGGTCCCTAATCACTTATGTGTGTATGTATTTTGTAGATTTGTGATAAATGGTCCCTAATAACTTATGTACATATGTATTTTGTAGATCTGTGATAAATGGTCCCTAATAACTGATGTACGTATGTATTTTGTAGATCTGTGATAAATGGTCCCTAATTACTGATGTACATATGTATTTTGTAGATCTGTGATAAATGGTCCCTAATGACTGATGTACATATGTATTTTGTAGATCTGTGATAAATGGTCCCTAATGACTGATGTACATATGCATTTTGTAGATCTGTGATAAATGGTCCCTAATGACTGATGTACATATGTATTTTGTAGATCTGTGATAAATGGTCCCTAATACCTTATGTACATACGTATTTTGTAGATCTGTGATAAATGGTCCCTAATTACTGATGTACATATGTATTTTGTAGATCTGTGATAAATGGTCCCTAATACCTTATGTACATACGTATTTTGTAGATCTGTGATAAATGGTCCCTAATACCTTATGTACATACGTATTTTGTAGATCTGTGATAAATGGTCCCTAATTACTGATGTACATATGTATTTTGTAGATCTGTGATAAATGGTCCCTAATACCTTATGTACATACGTATTTTGTAGATCTGTGATAAATGGTCCCTAATGACTGATGTATGTATGTATTTTGTAGATCTGTGATAAATGGTCCCTGATTACTGATGTACATATGTATTTTGTAGATCTGTGATAAATGGTCCCTAATGACTGATGTACATATGTATTTTGTAGATCTGTGATAAATGGTCCCTAATGACTGATGTACATATGTATTTTGTAGATCTGTGATAAATGGTCCCTAATGACAGATGTATGTATGTATTTTGTAGATCTGTGATAAATGGTCCCTGATTACTGATGTACATATGTATTTTGTAGATCTGTGATAAATGGTCCCTAATGACTGATGTACATATGTATTTTGTAGATCTGTGATAAATGGTCCCTAATGACTGATGTACATACCTGGTATGTATTTTGTAGATCTGTGATAAATGGTCCCTAATAACTGATGTACATATGTATTTTGTAGATCTGTGATAAATGGTCCCTAATGACTGATGTACATATGTATTTTGTAGATCTGTGATAAATGGTCCCTAATGACTGATGTACATATGTATTTTGTAGATCTGTGATAAATGGTCCCTAATAACTGATGTACATATGTATTTTTTAGATTTATGGTAAATGGTTACAAATAATTACTTAATAACTTGTTTTGTTTATGTAGGTTGCCATGAGGGCCTTAGGGTTTGATGTGAAGAAAGCGGACGTTTTAAAGATTCTGCGTGATTATGATAGAGAGGGTACTGGAAAGATTTCATTTGAAGACTTTAATGAAGTCAGTAAGTACAGTTGGATGTCTGTTTGAAATACAGGAATTACTTGACTGGAATTCCATGTCATCCTCACTGATTCTTATTTTGCACACTTTCACTACTGAGTAAAAAAAACCATTCCAAAAGGATGAAAAATCAGTTATTATGACCAATACATCTTCTAAATTTGAGCAAGTACAGACTTCTGTAAAGTCAGGAATAAAAAAAAACTGTAAAGTCAGGAATAAAAAAAACTGTTAAGTCAGGAATAAAAAAAAATGTCATGAAATATGGAAAAAGAAAAGTTAAGATATTTTGCAAAAAAGACAGATCAGCAAGTTTCGCCAGCATTACATGTTTATATTTATCAATGATACGTAAATATAAAACAGAAACATGTTGTAGGTCTGATTCTTACAACTTCTCTTACCTCACAGTGACAGACACCTCACAGTGACAGACACCTCACAGTGACAGACATTTTACCTCACAGTGACAGACATCTCACAGTGACAGACATTTTACCTCATAGTGACAGACACCTCACAGTGACAGACACCTCACAGTGACAGACATTTTACCTCACAGTGACAGACACCTCACAGTGACAGACATTTTACCTCACAGTGACAGACATCTCACAGTGACAGACATTTTACCTCACAGTGACAGACATTTTACCTCACAGTGACAGACATTTTACCTCACAGTGACAGACACCTCACAGTGACAAACATTTTACCTCACAGTGACAGACATTTTACCTCACAGTGACAGACATCTGACAGTGACAGACATCTTACCTCACAGTGACAGACATTTTACCTCACAGTGACAGACATTTTACCTCACAGTGACAGACACCTCACAGTGACAGACATTTTACCTCACAGTGACAGACATCTGACAGTGACAGACATCTTACCTCACAGTGACAGACATTTTACCTCACAGTGACAGACATTTTACCTCACAGTGACAGACACCTCACAGTGACAAACATTTTACCTCACAGTGACAGACATTTTACCTCACAGTGACAGACACCTCACAGTGACAGACATTTTACCTCACAGTGACAGACACCTCACAGTGACAGACATTTTACCTCACAGTGACAGACATTTTACCTCACAGTGACAGACATTTTACCTCACAGTGACAGACATTTTACCTCACAGTGACAGACACCTCACAGTGACAAACATTTTACCTCACAGTGACAGACATTTTACCTCACAGTGACAGACATCTGACAGTGACAGACATCTTACCTCACAGTGACAGACATTTTACCTCACAGTGACAGACATTTTACCTCACAGTGACAGACACCTCACAGTGACAGACATTTTACCTCACAGTGACAGACATCTGACAGTGACAGACATCTTACCTCACAGTGACAGACATTTTACCTCACAGTGACAGACATTTTACCTCACAGTGACAGACACCTCACAGTGACAAACATTTTACTTCACAGTGACAGACATTTTACCTCACAGTGACAGACACCTCACAGTGACAGACATTTTACCTCACAGTGACAGACACCTCACAGTGACAGACATTTTACCTCACAGTGACAGACATTTTACCTCACAGTGACAGACATCTGACAGTGACAGACATCTTACCTCACAGTGACAGACATCTTACCTCACAGTGACAGACATCTTACAAATTCTCTTTCCTCACAGTGACAGACATGATGCTAGAGAGAGATCCTCAAGAGGAGGTGCTGAAAGCCTTTAAATTGTTTGATGATGATTCTTCAGGGAAAATCAGTCTTCGCAACCTCAGGAGAGTAGCCAGGTAAATATAGAGACAAGGGGATACACAGATTAGTACTGTTAACAGATAAATATAGAGACAAGGGGATACACAGATTAGTACTGTTAACAGGTAAATATAGAGACAAGGGGATACAAAGATTAGTACTGTTAACAGATAAATATAGAGACAAGGGGATACAAAGATAAATAGTGACACGTCAGTTAAAGGCTCATCATGAAAAGTGACATAATGATCCTTTAATTATCACATTTGTTTTTGGACATTCTCAATACTCCAGGGGTTATGATCACTTTCATGCTCTGCAGCCCTGGAACATTTCATGGCAAAATTGAAGGCACAATTAATGTAATTTGATTGGTATGGAAAATGGTATTTGAATGATGTTCCATGCTATTTTTTAAAACAAGTTAAGATGTTGTTTTTTTTTTTTTTTTTTTTTTGAGAAAAATGAGTTAAAATTTTTTTAATAACGTTGAAAAGTAGAAAATTTTAGGTGCTTCTAGAATTTTTTACAAAGAAAGCAGGCTAGGATATCTGGTTGACCTGACACCTGACTGGTCAGTTGTAAATGAATGATATTATTTATTATGTAAATGTGATATTAACTTGTGTGTCTTTTGTACAATCTTTAAGATAGCAGGTGTTAGACACAGCTAGTGGACTTTAAGTCCCTGAGGTTTGACGTTACCTGCTTGCCACGTTTTAATTTACTTGTACTTGACACTTTTCTAAAATTATCTGATGTATAAAAATTACAAAATTTATTTAAATATGGGGCTGCTGTAACTTCCTGTTGATTTTAGCTTATCTTTTGATAATTTTGAATTTTCCTTAGTCACCTCCTAGGCTTCAAAACTTAAGCATCACTGACCAGTCCTAGAAACGAAACAGCTATATGATGTAGCATCACTGACGAGTCCTAGAAGGACGAAACAGCAGTATGATGTAGCATCACTGATGAGTCCTAGAAACGAAACAGCTATATGCTGTAGCATCACTGACGAGTTCTAGAAGGACGAAGCAGCTGTACGATGTAGCATCACTGACGAGTCCTAGAAACAAAACAGCTGTACGATGTAGCATCACTGACGAGTCCTAGAAGGACGAAGCAGCTGTACGATGTAGCATCACCGACCAGTCCTAGAAGGACGAAACAGCTGTACGATGTAGCATCACTGACGAGTCCTAGAAACAAAACAGCTGTACGATGTAGGATCACTGACGAGTCCTAGAAGGACAAAACAGCTATATGATGTAGCATCATTGACGAGTCCTAGAAACAAAACAGCTGTACGATGTAGCATCACTGACGAGTCCTAGAAGGACGAAACAGCTATACGATGTAGCATCACTGACGAGTCCTAGAAGGACGAAACAGCTGTACGATGTAGCATCACTGACGAGTCCTAGAAGGACGAAACAGCTGTACGATGTAGCATCACTGACGAGTCCTAGAAGGACGAAACAGCTGTGCGATGTAGCATCACTGACGAGTCCTAGAAGGACGAAACAGCTGTGCGATGTAACATCACTGACGAGTCCTAGAAGGACGAAACAGCTGTGTGATGTAGCATCACTGACGAGTCCTAGAAGGACGAAACAGCTGTGTGATGTAGCATCACTGACGAGTCCTAGAAGGACGAAACAGCTGTGTGATGTAGCATCACTGACGAGTCCTAGAAGGACGAAACAGCTGTGTGATGTAATATCACTGACGAGTCCTAGAAGGACGAAACAGCTGTACGATGTAACATCACTGACGAGTCCTAGAAGGACGAAACAGCTGTACGATGTAGCATCACTGACGAGTCTTAGAAGGACGAAACAGCTGTACGATGTAGCATCACTGACGAGTCCTAGAAGGACGAAACAGCTGTATGATGTAGCATCACTGACGAGTCCTAGAAGGACGAAACAGCTGTATGATGTAACATCACTGACGAGTCCTAGAAGGACAAAACAGCTGTACGATGTAGGATCACTGACGAGTCCTAGAAGGACGAAACAGCTATATGATGCAGTTTTATTCATTGTTTGGCTCTACTGTATCTCACTCTTAATTATGAAAGGTGCTTTTCATTTGTGTGTCTTTTGTACAATCTTTCAGGGAGCTGGGAGAAAATATGACAGATGAAGAACTACGAGCTATGATTGATGAGTTTGATAGAGATGCTGATGGTGAAAGTAAGCTATCTTATACATGTAAATACAATGAATATCTAACCACAAGTATAATGGAAAGGGCAGCTAGACATAGCAAAAACAGCAGGAAGTATGAATAGTAAACTCAGTTCTGTTATACCATACAGTAAACAATGAAATAATAGTATAGATCTGCTGTTTCTAAAGTAACATTATACTTTCTAGACCAATCAGAGTTCAAGAAAGGCAGCCATTATCTAATACTCAAATTATTGAAACCTGATACCTACATCTTATCATTTTAGATAGTGATATTGTTGAATAAATTTTAGAATATATGTTTCTCTTTGTCTTCAAATGAAACCATCTTGAAAATGAATTTATTCTTTTCTGTTAAAAGGGAAATCACTTATAACTTATTTTCAAGACTTTAGAGTGTTATCATTTTAGATATTCATGTCATTGAATAAATTTTAGAACTTGCATGATCAAAGTAATTCATGAAAATATGCCTCACTTTGTCTTCAATTGAAACCCTCTTGAAAATAAATAAGATATGGCATATGTACTATTCTTTACTGTTGGAAAGGAAATCACTTCTAACTTATTTTCAAGACTTTAAAATGTTGTGATAAATATAAATAGAGATTTTTTTTTCATTTTCAGTTAACGAAGATGAATTTATTGCCATAATGACTGGGGACACGTGAGAGGACTACCTATGTGCTGTGTGACCTAAACAGTGTTTTAGTATTGAAATTCATTGTGTAATGACATGGACCAAAATGTATTTAAAATGGTTAAAGTTTCCAAAGTAAATGAATTTGTGAAAAATCAAACCGGTCTCTGTTGGAAATAGATTCTCAATATCCTGCTTCCTTTGTGTGATAATTATTCATAAATTCTATTCAAGCTATATTTAGAATTTTAAAAGTGAAATCTACTTTTGGTATTAAGGTTTTAAAATAATTATTCTTCTGGTAGACAACTAAATTGTTAAATTTGATGTGTAGATATTATTTACGATTTTTGTTATGGTACACTTATGTATATCATATGACATTGGTTGTCAGTTTAAAGTTACATCTATCATTCAGGTATCAGTGTCTCTCGAGGAGTATGTAGATATGTATGGTGAATGAAGGTGTGCATTTGTATGTCAGTTTGTGAATATGTGTGAGTGAAAACAGTGACCTATTTTCTGGTTTTCTGTAACATAATTTTGATGTGTGGGAGGATGTTTCTGGCTGTCAGTAGATGAGGGTACAGTGTATTGTAGATGGTGATGATGATAGATTATATATTATATATGTTAGTAGACAAGATAAGGAAATATACAAATTTATTAAGAATGTAATTAATTAACATGACAAGTTAATATCATTATTGTCAATTACATTTTAAACTGTAAAAGTATTAAAACTTTTGATACAAAATCTGTTATTAATGTTTTTTCTTTGTTATGATAAACCCATCAGAATCACAGGTTGAACTCAGAAGTCCTTATTTGAACAATTCCATTAATTTCATGTGCATTTGATTCCTAATGTAGTTATAGAACCTCTATCTAAAGGTCATTTGTGTATAAAGACCACCTGTGAATAAATGCCACCTGTATATAAAGGTCACCTGTGTATACAGGCCACCTGGATATAAAGGTAACCTGTCTATAAAGACCACCTGTGTATAAAGGTCACATGTGTATTAAGGTTACATGTGTATAAAGGTCACTTGGAGATAACGGTTACCTGTGTATAAAGGTCACTTGTGTATAAAGGTCACTTGTATATAAAGGTTAGCTGTGTATAAAGGTCACTTGTGTATAAAAAGCCGCTTTCCCCTGCTCCATTGAGTGGCTTTATAGACAGATTGACTGTATGCAGGTAAATTTCTGTTTTTGACTTTGATTGATTTATCTTGATGTTACCTGAGACAAAGTCCCATGGTGACCTATTGTGATCGTCTTTTTTTGGGGCGTCTTGCATCTGTAAACTTTTTAACAATGCTCACGTCTCAAAAAGACCAGAACCAGTTTTAATGAGTTTTTTTTTTTTCAGAAATCTTCCCTCGTCAAAGATAAACCAAAACTGTGAATTATACGATCCCTGTCCCCAATGGCCCTAAGGGGTGGGGCCAACAGCAGTAAAACTGACTCAAATTTCTTCTCAACATCGAGATATGGTAGAACCTAATGCTCTTCATGGATGGAAGCATCTTCAGGTACTTACCAATATTGTGAATTTCATAGCCCCAGAGTCTCACATTTTACAGCACAAAGGTTGAAGGCCTTAAAGTTATTTATAGATATTAGCCGCTTTTCATTTCCTCCTTGCAACCAAAATTGTGCAAAATACGCACAAGGGAAAATAGCCTTCCTATTATCAGGATTTTCCCGCAAGAAGTCGTCAACTGACTGACAAACTCGTAACACAGGAGTTTAAAAGATGCTGATTGATGAAAATTATGGATGAGTTCTACGGTTGTCCTAGTGATCCCATTGAGAAATTTTCTATTTTTTTGTGGATGTGAAGCACGTCGTGTTTGATGTATGTTAGTTATCTATTGGTTTCATTGTTGAAGACATTGTTCTCATTTGAAAACGTGACATTACTTGTTGGGTTTGACCCAGATATACATAGCGGCGTCCCGATGAAGCAGAAGACGCTTACTCTTCTGGAACACATGATCCTATTCTTGTACTTCTTCAAGTGTCTCCAAGTTAATTGTTCAAAACTTCCCGTAGTAATATTGAATTTGAGTTTGAATTATGATTGCGTTGAAATGTTGATACAGTTGAAACTCGTCTCGAAATCGCTTGAAGTGAAATTCGATTTGAGTTGGAATAATTTTCAAGTCCCGATTTTTTCCTTCTTCATCTTGTAATTTTAGTTCGGATGACCCAAATTCATTGAATCGAAATTTCTTTTGAGTCAAAGCGATTTTTCTTCAATTGTAAAGCAAGTAAAAAACTTTTCAAACAACTGATGCAATCGACTGAATATAAAGAATCGTGTTTTTCTAACTGTAAGGATGTACTTCTCGGAAGTAAAACCATTCCAGTATTATTTTTTTCTGAGGTTAGGGTTTTGAAGGGTTTAAATTAAAAAAGTAGATTAAAAAAGAAATCAATTTGTTGCTCCACTCTTTCTCCGGTACAGATGCCAGTATATGTGAAACAAGAAACAAGTCCTTTTCTCATCTTTCCCCTAATAACAAACATTCTCTGTTGTTATCATGGCAACCATTTTCAAAATAGATTTTCGTCTTTCATTACAAGTTAAGGGTATGATACTTGGATACTTTGAAAAAAATGATATGAAGTTTTCATTTCATTTAACGAGTTATGAACTGCATAGCAACCTAAAAATGAAATCGTTCCAAAATTTTTATTTTCTTTGATAAGCTTATGGTATTAAACTTTATTTAAGATTTATGTCTTGATAGAAATATTTGAGGATACTTTACTTGGTCTCCGTTCTCTAACTTTTGCAATTTCCATCCAATATCAGGCAACTAAACTAAAACGAGATATTTGTTTTGGGTCCTAAACATCTAGCAATGTGTCCCATTACGTCGGAATTTGAAATGTTATTTGTTGTGATTATTCGGGCAAAAACTTTTGAAACTGTAAAAGTGTGATATTTCTCTATATTTATCTGATACAAATGAAATATATATTTTTATGAGTATGTTTACATATATTGCGACAGGTCGCCGTAGGTCGTTAGTGCTAAACCCGGATATGGACACGAGTTAAAATTTGTCATCCCTGTTCTATCTTATACATTGATTTATATTTGAACTAGCTGTCGTTATTGTTGTTTGATGTACATTGTTAACACAGATACTCTGTATACTATAACAGCTGACCTACTGTTCATTCAGGGCGTTACCGCAACAACTTTGTGTAAATAACTTAATTATAACAGAAATTTTTGTTCGAGAATAAATATTTATTTTTGAATATTTTTGTCAAATCTATGGGCCATTTGGTCCATGCTCCAAAACTTGAATATATCGTATGTCTTCTCCTTGTGAGTTTTGGGCTTTACAAGCGTAGTCACCATAGTTTTCATCCCTCACGTTACTTATTTGGATATCGGCGCCATGGTTCAATACCTGAACATTACTGGGTGGTGTATTACTGATTGACTGAAAATAAAATCAGTTTAACAAGCGTGTAAATAGAATAATGATTATACGTATAACGTGTTTTTTGATTTCAGAAGTTTTTTTTTCCATTTTACTTCATCAAAAGTTTGATAAGAGGAAAAACAAAATATTAAGTCTTTTTAGGGAATTGAAATTAAAGTGCGATTACATGATTAAGACCTTTACCTACATGAGCACCTGAATGATCAGGAGAATGTTTGATGATCAGGAGAATGTTTGATGATCAGGAGAATGTTTGATGATCGGGAGAATGTTCGATGATCGGGAGAATGTTTGATGATCGGGAGAATGTTAGATGATCGGGAGAATGTTTGATGATCGGGAGAATGTTAGATGATCGGGAGAATGTTTGATGATCGGGAGAATATTAGAATATTAGATGATCAGGAGAATGTATGATGATCGGGAGAATGTTAGATGATCGGGAGAATGTTTGATGATCGGGAGAATGTTTGATGATCGGGAGAATGTTAGATGATCAGGAGAATGTTTGATGATCGGGAGAATGTTTGATGATCAGGAGAATATTAGATGATCGGGAGAATGTTTGATGATCGGGAGAATGTTAGATGATCGGGAGAATGTTTGATGATCGGGAGAATGTTTGATGATCGGGAGAATGTTAGATGATCGGGAGAATGTTAGATGATCGGGAGAATGTTTGATGATCGGGAGAATGTTTGATGATCGGGAGAATGTTTGATGATCGGGAGAATGTTTGATGATCAGGAGAATGTTTGATGATCAGGAGAATGTGAGATGATCAGGAGAATGTTTGACGATCAGGAGAATGTGAGATGATCGGGAGAATGTTTGACGATCGGGAGAATGTTAGATGATCGGGAGAATGTTAGATGATCGGGAGAATGTTTGATGATCGGGAGAATATTAGAATATTAGATGATCAGGACAATGTTTGATGATCAGGAGAATGTTTGATGATCAGGAGAATGCTGGGGTCAGTTGTGAATACGAAAGTATTCTGCGAATCATCATCATTTAATCGATACATTAGTGACATAAAATATACTGAAAGATACATAAACGGAAATTGAAAACGTATGAAATATATTCCAAAAATGGCTGTAGCCAGCAAACGACGATGATCTCAACTCTAGAAATCATCGAGTCATATCAGGGATACAGGAAACAGAACGTACATCTACAGCTTACAGCATGTACCTGATGACTTTATTGTCATTCACAATGATCAAGTTTCCATTTTGAGAACATGACATTACAAGGAATAACAATCATTGAAATGGCAGATGTTATTGATGAAGGGTTTTCCTGGTTGTGTGTTTTAAGACTCCGCTGTATATTTTGCACCTTTTATTGATTTTAGAATAAAGATTTTATTTAAATGTTGATTTGTTATTCTTACCAGAAAGCTCCAAGTGAGGGATGGAGTTGGGTTACCAGTTGCTCTGCACTTCAAATGCAGGTAAGTTCCTTTATTGACATTGTGTGGTCTCGTTATAGACGTGATGACTGGCTTCGAAACTGTAAAATTGTACATGTTATTAAAGGCTTGTTAGTATTATTTTCAAATATTTTATCGATACACAAAGCATCTTTAAGTTACATTTATATATATATATATATATAACGTGATATCTATGTAAATAGTGTTTTATTCTTATGGTCAAAATACCCATCACTAATAATATTACTGTAAATAAACGTGTCGTCTCACGCATTATCCTTATGATAATACAGGTTTAATTTTTTCAAGTTAACGTTTTAACTGTCTAACCTCTGTTCACTTCACTGTTACAACTCACTGAAAACAAATTATGTGCTTTTCTATTTTCTCGAAAACTGGGCCAAATCAACGCATTTTGCAAAATTGGGTGAGTTATAAAAGTATGCATGATGTTATGAAGAATAAACACTTTACGAGTTTGAATCGTCGGATGATGCGTGTGATGCTGTGTCGTAGGCTTTGTCGTAGGTTTAGTGGTAGGTTTAGTGGTAGGCTTTGTCGTAGGTTTAGTGGTAGGCTTTGTCGTAGGTTTAGTGGTAGGTTTAGTGGTAGGCTTTGTCGTAGGTTTAGTGGTAGGCTTTGTCGTAGGCTTTGTCGTAGTTCGTATATGCGCATGAGTCGGCGATGGTGTATGTTGATTGTTTGAATGCATCGTACATTGGTCATTACATAGATTGTTGGCACAACATGAAAGACATCTTGCTTGGGTCAGACTCTTTTTGCCAATTAAAGCTGGAGCTGCCATTAATGCTTTACATTCCTGAAAATGAACTTCTTATTTAAACTCATTATAAACGGTAATATCATTGATGTCATTACTACAGAATAATATATCATGTTTATTTTGTTTTTCTTAGCAACAGGCAACAGGTATGGGAATCTCACTCATAAGAGGTGAAAGATATATAGACTGATTCATTGTATCAACTGCCAGGTTGGAATTGTGGAGGAAAGTCATAGTTCCCGGAGAAAATCATCGACCTGTGGCCAGCACCTGGCGACTGCCCCACGGTCTCGAACCCGCGACCAAGAAGATAAAGGCGTCTTAACCACTCGGCCAACGAGGCTCATCGCATAAACATACGATATTGTGTAAATTACTAAAATAATATTCTTAACTCAAAAGACATCTTTTATAATTTGATTAAATATTTGATTGGCATTAATTAATTCCTCCTTCAATAAATCTTTGACCACATCAGTTTACATATCGTGACGTTTTGATTATTCGCTTGGTCTGAATGTAAAGTTATTCTGTACAAGTAGTATTACATTTTCACTAAAACGAAATTAAAACAAAACAAACAAAAATATGTAAAATGTAAACAGCAAAAGACATAACATTCTTACTGTAGAATTTTCACCACATCTGCTCTCCCAGAGAAGTTCACCAGATAGCTCATTCTGTGTCGTTCCAATAAAGCATTGCTGAAAAAAGAAATCAATCGATATAAGTGAAAATGGCTTAATGATATACTGATCCTGTCTGACTCCCATTTACTCAAGAATGGGATTCCAAAAGGGTCAAATATACCCATTTTTCGTAAGCCTTCCTCCAGATATGGTAGAATAAAATATTCATCTTGGATGGACGTGCCTTAAGGTGCTTTACCGAAGTTGTTCATGGCACTAAGGTCGTAAGTTTTCCTTTGGTATCATAGTTATATAAGGGAAATGCTTTTTTCTGAGCGTAACTTGTTTAATTTTAATTAGAACTTTCAAACTTGGTTAGAATTATCATAATAAGATGACGGCTTGATGGTATGCTCTGACCTCCCCGGGGCAGACGAGCGGGACCAAGAGGGGTCAATTCCAAATATGATAGTCTCAGCATCCAGATATGGTAGAATCACACGCGAGAAGGGATGGAAGAGTCTGAAGATGCTTACAACAATTGTGGAATTCAAAACCAAAAAGCCTAACGTGTCTGCCTTGGGGGAGGGGTATATTTTACTACATCTTACTGTAGTAGCTAGTGGGAGGATCGGATGGGTCGAATTTACTCACATTTCAATAATGATCTACCCACCATCAAAATGGGGTCAAATCAAGTGCTATTCACGAGGGTGAAGAGATACAAGAGTCTGAAATCCATGTGAAGTCCGTTAATTTGCTGTTTATCGAGTACCTTTTATTGTATGGTATTTGTTAATTCACCACGATAAGAATTTCACCATTTCACAATATTCAATATACTGAAGGCAAATCTTCTAACTCTCGAGTAAGTAAATGCTTGATTCATTCCTTCCGTTGAGATATGATATACATATGTATATCCCACATGTGTTAAGTGCTTTATTAGTCATTCTCCATGTAAGTGTGATTTTATCTACTTTAATATAATTAACTTGTTCTGATTAAAGGTTTTCATATATAACTTACATTGTCTATACCACAAAGTTTAATTCTGTCGCATTTATCAGGGTGTGCCATCTGGTCACAGTTATAACAAATCAGCGCTCCAGCTCCATTGGTACCTAACACTGAAAAGGAAATTAAGAAATATTTACATAACAATACAGCGTACATGGCTGACATAAATATAATACATTTGTAAGCTAAAGCTGTTATATTCTAGGGGTTTGTTCATCGCTATGTTTGAAGATGGCAAAAAAAAAAAAAAAAAAAAACATCATTTACATTGAAAATTAGATCAAATTATCGGGGAAAATCATATATTTTTGTAATTTCTAAAAAAGATATATATATTTGTGTATCAATTTGAACCATCGGAAAAAGACCACAATATAGTTACTTTCATCTGGTATATATTTCTAGACAGAAGGTCAATGTAAATGGTGAATGGCTCATCACATCCTATGCACCGAGGATTATCTCCGCCTTTCAACATATATGAATGTGTAAGGTATGTATGGCCCACGCGAACTTCCTCTCGGTGGTTGTCTCTACAGTAGGAGACCATACAGCGATAACAGGTTTTACAGAGTGCAATTTGTTATTGGTATATGTATTCCATTCCTCCTGCCACTGAGCTTTCGAAATTTGTTTTGAAAAAGGTGAACATTCAACAGATGAACATTACACTGTTTCGTTTCTATTTTTTGTGTAACTCTATTTTACTCATTTTTGTATTGTTACATCAGTTATTAAAATATTTTGTTTTTTTACTCACTTGGCGCACCACAGTTACCATCCAAAATGTTACACATCTTTGTATTGTTACAACAGGCATAACATAAAGTAATTCTATTGTCGAAACTCGTCCTTAAATCTGGTAAACTCAGTGTTGACTCCTGTATTTCCTCTGATCGTTTTCCTATTCCCGCACAGCGCTGTAATGGCAACAAGGGTAATATCGACATGTCAACATAATCTTACTTCAAACTTTATGAAATATTAGACAAAATACGCAAAGAAGGACGATTTACAAGAAGACCCGGAAGATAATAAGACCATGTTTTCCGAAAGAATAAGCGTCTTCTGCTTCATCAACGACACCCGCCAAGTAAACCTTGGTCAGTCCAAAAATATAATGTCCGGTTCCCATATAAGGAAAAGGTATACAATAATGAAAATAACAGACAAAGTAAAGAACATCAAACAGCTTCATATCAAATTGAGATCAATAGTATACATCACATATGTTCAATAAACTTTTCCTTTCAGAAGAAAACATCCACTTCTCTGATATATACATATATAATTCTGTAAACGTCCTTACATTGGTGCGATTATTAAAAAAAAAAAAAAAAAAAAGCAACACAAGGGAAATGCAATGAGTGACAATAAATTGAAGTGCAATACGTTAAACGCAAAGTCGCTAAAATGAGATAACCACTAATATTATGTATGCTACAGACAAATTAGTGGCGTGCGTTATAATACCTAGATTTTCCGTAGCCAGACATGTCGTTTATCAATATTTCTGAAAATGTGAAAATTGCAGCGTTTAGAACATGTGAATGTATTCAATGTTTCAATGAATCAATGAATCAAAAACATGTGCTGAAGGATGATGCAAAGTCTATTCAAGCGAATACAAAAGCGAAGTATATTAGCCTATACAATTGAATATTTTCGAAAACTAATTAACGGCCTATACACCTGAATACTTATGAAAACTAATTAACGACCTATACACCTGAATACTTATGAAAATTAATTAACGACCTATACACCTGAATACTTATGAAAATTAATTAACGGCCAATACACCTGAATACTTATGAAAATTAATTAACGACCTATACACCTGAATACTTATGAAAACTAATTAACGACCTATACACCTGAATACTTATGAAAATTAATTAACGACCTATACACCTGAATACTTATGAAAATTAATTAACGACCTATACACCTGAATACTTATGAAAATTAATTAACGGCCAATACACCTGAATACTTATGAAAACTAATTAACGGCCAATACACCTGAATACTTATGAAAACTAATTAACGACCTATACACCTGAATACTTATGAAAATTAATTAACGACCTATACACCTGAATACTTATGAAAATTAATTAACGACCTATACACCTGAATACTTATGAAAATTAATTAACGACCTATACACCTGAATACTTATGAAAACTAATTAACGGCCAATACACCTGAATACTTATGAAAACTAATTAACGGCCAATACACCTGAATACTTATGAAAACTAATTAACGGCCTATACACCTGAATACTTATGAAAATTAATTAACGACCTATACACCTGAATACTTATGAAAATTAATTAACGACCTATACACCTGAATACTTATGAAAATTAATTAACGACCTATACACCTGAATACTTATGAAAATTAATTAACGACCTATACACCTGAATACTTATGAAAATTAATTAACGACCTATACACCTGAATACTTATGAAAACTAATTAACGGCCAATACACCTGAATACTTAAAAAAACTTAAGAACTGTAACTATAAATAATATAGGAAGAAACCCTGTGTCAGGAACGTATGATAAAGACACGCCTGCATTTGGTTTAAAGCAAAATAAAACTGCGGATGACTACTTACGAATAATGATTAACAGCATATACAGGTGAATCTTACGAAGAATGATTAATGACCTATACAGGTGAATCTTAAGAAGAATGTTTATAGGCCTATACAAGTGAGTACTTACGAAGGATGATTCACAGCCTATGTCGTAACGTCTAAGACCATAGGGTGTAATGTAAAGATGAATAAGGCACTCCTGTAATGATGATATATTTTTTGTCAAATCATTTTTATCTGTTCGACTTTTGAAATGTTTCGACAAACTAGGAAATAAGTTAAAGACTTAAAAACATGAACTTCACAAGGTTTGGAAACCATGAAAAGTGTTATGTATCATAAACAGCGTTATAAATTGAGCAAAAGAAACATAACGAAATTAATCATTTCAATACAGAGATTACAAAAGACTGAATTCAGCCTTATAGCACAAATTTGTTGTTAGATACAGTAGAACCAAATGTTGAAATATACTGCACTACACACCGGTTTCGTCCTTCAAGGACTCGTCAATTATGCTAGGTTTGAATTAGGAAAATTCCAAATTGATAAAAAGAACATTTTAAATGTATATAAGGAGTGACACAAGCCATAATTCAGAAAAAAATCTTTCATGAGATAATTTCAGAAAAGCGTGAAGCACATTTTGAACAGTGTCACAATCTTATAACTTTCACAGGTGATAAGAAAATTTAGAATTCATAGAAGTAAGGGTTGCGCTTATATTACCGGTATTGGAAGCATCTGTTTCTGATATTTTGTTACAGTCACATGCTGTGCTTCAAGAATGACGTAATGGTAATTGAAAATACTTTTATCTTTATTTAGTTAATTGAATGACTGTAAATCGCTAATGTTTCGCGTGGGATTTATTTTCGCGTTAATACGGAGAGGAGAGTCATTCGCGAGTTCAAATCCTTCACGATTATTTGAACAGAAATAATTCCTGATGACATCCACGTTGATAAGGTTACCGATAACAAAGTCCATACGTCTGATAGCAAATTATTTGATTATTTAAAGTCATTTCTAGATTACCATTCGCGAAATCGAATATGTCTGAAGAGGTAAGTTGGCGAAATAAAGTATTTGCGAAATCCACGTAATTTTCAGTTATGATTTTCTTGGTATTTGCGGTATTTCAAAGTTAAATTTGTATCAGTGTAGAATTATTCGGAATAAACTGGATGCTGCTGGTGCCTGCAGTATTCTACATAATATTGCAGATATGGCATTCTTTTATAAAAATTTATACGCCAATTATTATTCTATGAACTTTTCCGTCATTCCACTTCATTGTTATATTTCCAAAACTCAATAAGATAAATCCCCTTGAAATTATTCAGGTGTCTCCGTTTATGTCTTTCTTTTGTGCCATGAATACCTTTTTGTTGTTTTTTTTTAATAGGAGTTTTGATTATGATAGTTATGTTAGCATTTTCTTTGGTTCTTTATATATACCAATGGCTTAACGGCCCGTCAACACATACAAGGTCATTAGGGCCATCCAACGGTAAAACACACAGCGATCCAAAAGGAAAGAAATTAAACAAACCAAAAGGTAAAAGACAAATGTTAAAAATCTTAAATGGATATATGAACACAAAAGATTAAAATGGTACGTCATAGTCTATTATATAGACCAACATCGTTCAGGTAATGTAGAATTCTACAAATCTCAACAGTTTCAAAAAGGAATTTTAGACATGTAATGTTACGATAAAAACATTCTCGAGTAGACGGAAGGTCAATGCAGTCCAATAAAAAAATATTTAATGGTGAATGGCTCATCACATCCTATGCACCAAGGATTGATTATCTTCGCCTTTCAACATATATGAATGTGTAAGGTATGTATGACCCATCCGAAGACGGTCCAGGACAACTTCGTCTCGGTGGCTGTCTCTATAGCCTGGAGACCATTCACCGATAACAGCTTTAACTGAGTGCAATTTGTTTTTGGTATAGGTATTCCATTCCTCCTGCACTTTTAAAATTTGTTTAATAAGTGGTTTAAAATCGGTAAAATAAACAAGTAGTAGCGATAAAGCTTCCTTTGCGGCACGATCTGCTTTTTCATTGCCTGGTATTCCCATGTGCCCAGGAACCCAGCAAAAAGCAATACGAAAGTTAAGGCAAGTTCATGATATAGTATTACGGTATTACGAATGAAAATATTTTCGATATTTCTATTGCTGAGACTTTGTAATGGATAACAGCTCTCATTATTTGTTTGTTTGAATATATTCAAGGCGAGGTAGATAGCTCGCGCTTCTGCCGAGAATATTGAGGCGTTGTTCGGTAGCCGGCATCCATAGGTTTCATCTTGTGTAACCATGACCGCAGCAACCTTATCATTATGTTTTGAACCATCAGCATATTAATGTAGATATGTTTCATATTTTAACCGTAATTTCGAGAAGGATGAACGAAAGGTGTAACTGTCTGTGTCTGATTTAATCATTTCTCGAAGTGAAAAGTCAACTTCAGGTGAATTCATGAGCCAGGGTGGAATTTCTATCGTTCTAAATGACTGAATTTGGTCAATATCAATATTTGTGTTTTGTAAAAGAGTGCAAATTCGAATACCAAATAAAGGAATAATATTTTGGATCAAATAGAGAGAAAAATGCAGGAGTTGAAGGATTTGACTTTAGCTGAATGGTGTATTGCAAAGCCAATTCATTTCGACGGCTATATAGTGATGGTTCGTTAGCCTCTACCTAGAGGCTTGCTGTAGGTGTGGTCTTAAAAGCTCCGAGAGCGAGCCCGATACCTTGGCGATGAACAGTGTCTAACAATTTTAAGTATGAAGGTCTAGCAGATCCATGCACGATGGAACCATAGTCCAATTTTGATCTAATAAGGGCTCTTTAATGTCTTAGCAAAACTTTTCTATTAGCTCCCAACTCAATGTGGGACACAACCTTTGGAATATTCAGTGCCTTAATGTATTTGGCTTTAAGGTATTTTATATGTGGAAGGAACGACAATTTCCTGTCGAATATTACACCTAAGAATTTCGTTTGCTCAACAACAGGAATGGGTACATAACAGAGAGACAGATTTGGATCGTGTTGTTTCCGAGTTTGACAAAAATGCATACAGACTGTTTCTGATTGTGAAAATTTAAAAGAGATTAACATCTTTTAATAAAAAATCAGAGTTAAATACAGTAGAGCCACAGGATTGATCAAACTGCAGCGTGTCGCTGTTTCGTCCTCTTAGGACTTGTCAGTGATGCAAAGAGCTTAAATTTTGAAACCTAGGAGGCGACTGCGAAAAATATTTTCGAAAGAAATGTCAAATTCTAGATTTGGAGGTGCGCTAGCTAATACTAGAACAACGTTCACGTGTAAATACCACGTATACCACGTGTAACACGTATACCACGCATACCACATATAACACGAGCATTCAATGCAATTACGCCAGCTTTAGATAAATCATGTGATAACGACAAAAGGTTTTACGCATCATTTCTAAGGTATATACCACGAACAACGTGTATCCATTAACAGTTCGTGGTGTCACGTATATTTAGGTCATCGCGCTTGTCTATTTACTGTATAATGGCAAATAGCTAGGAATGGTTACCTCATGATCGCCACACTCAGTCACGACATTACAATCAGTTGGGTTAACCAGTTGAGAACATGACCCGCAGATTTGTCCCGCATCTACAATGAAGCAGTGGAGAGTTAATTTTCTCGTATTCTTAAGCTAAAAATCGTTATTTTATCATGTTAATAGCAATATAACAATACGTCTCCCTTGAAGGCCATCTTGACGTCACACTATAGAAGGTATACAGGACATATCAGCAATGGTGTCAAGAAATGAATACAACATAGTGCCCTTGGCCGTGACGTCTCGACCTGCTGTCTAGAGCCCATGACGTATACAGATTTAAACCAGCCCCTTACGGGCATGACGTCTACAGATCTTCACAACCCAGCCCCTTTGGCCGTGATGGTATACAATGTATACGTGCAATATCAGAAATTTGAAAATCTTTGCCTACTTAACCTTCTATTGCTTGTATAATGGTATTTAAATTTACAAATAGGAACATATCAGTGACATAATGGTGAAAGTAAAGAGTCATGTTCTAACTGATGACTAGAATGCCTTCCTTTGCCATATTTTTCATTAGGGACAAAGAAGAGTACATTTGAGTGCAATAGAAAATAAAAAAAAACATGTTTACCTGTTATTCCAAAGATGACGGCGAAGCAACACAGGGTGAGTCTGAATGGAGAAAATATACAAAGATAGTTACTTTTTAGGTTTATCTCCATTGCCAGTCGGAAACAAGGAATTCTAATTGACCTACTGAATCAACATATTTTTCTTTATTGTTTCCAAGGACAGCAGAAACTCAATGTAGTTCTATAATAAAACATAAAACATAAAAGATATATATTTTCTTTGTTTCTAACGTTTGGTGTGCTCATTAGAACATGAGTTGAAACGAACGAATACCAAGTCATGGCTATTTTATGACGTCACGTCAAAAAACATCAAGGAAATACCTACATGGCAACATAATTCAAACTCAAATTCCTTAAAACTAGGGCAAGATATGAGCAAAAGAAAAAATACACGGATACTACTGAAAAAGTACAATGAGAATAAGACGATGTGTTCCGGAAGAGTAAGCGTCTTCTGCTTCATCAATGACACCAGTCATGTAAACCTTGGTCAATCCATGTGAGTAGTATCACGTTCTCATATGATAACAAGGTATAAGCATCAAATAGTTCAATTAATCAACATTATCAATCTTGGAAAAAACAGATTAAAAGTTTTATCTATTAATCCTATATGCGTGATAAAGATTTCGTTATTCTTTATATGTTGTAGGGATTCCTTATGTATTAGTGGTAGGAAACATTTAAGTAATATATTATGCACAGGTATGATAATGTTGATGAATACCTGTATCAGAATTCTACAAGTCTTTTATTACTATTATTATTATTATTACATTCTTTACGGCCCGTCAACACATAAAAGGTCATTATGGCCATCAAACGGTAAAACACACAGCGATCCAAAAGGAAATACCATTAAACAAACTAAAAGGTAAAAGACAAATGTTAAAAATCTAAATGGGTATGTTAACACAAAAGATATAAAATGGTACGTCATAGTCTATTATATAGACAAATATCTTTCAGGTAATGTAGAATTTCACAAATCTCAACAATTTCGTTTCAAAAAGGGATTTTAGACATGTTATGTTACGATAAAAACGTTCTCGAGTAGACAGAAGGTCATTGCAGTCCAATTAAAAATGTTTAACGGTGAATGAAATTATGAAATTGTTGTTGTCGCCATTGCAGTTTGGATATTTATTTCCTCGGGGATCAATTACTTTGGCGTGCGTCATCAGGTAAAATTCGTCGCAAACAGTGATGAAAACATTGAATAATCGAAGTGGAAACTTCAATCTTCGAAATTGTCATTAAATTTCGCAGGATAGATATGAAAGATGGTTATTGTAAGATTCTGCCAGGTGTTGTCTTAATTAATCAATACTTCATAAGGTTATGAAAATGATAAAATATATATATTACCTTATAATAAATCGGCACTCCATGTTGAATGAAAGCAGACTTTAGGAGACCACACAAAGCGATAACGAGGCACCGAAAGTATGGCGTATCTAGTACATATGTGCACCAGTTTGGACCAAATAGATAAGACAAACGGGTCAATGTTTCCTAGGCATCTGTTTATAAACCACAAACGCATTCAATTTAATTGTTTCATCCTACATTTAATTATTTTTTTTTATTTGTTTATCGATGAATACATCTATAGATCATGTTTGTTTAATTTTTGTTCTCGTTTTCCTTGCTTTTGCATTTCATAACTAGTTCCTTGACCTAAACAAATACGAACTTTTGAATTACGATGACCTTTGGTCATCACGTCACTGCTTATTTCTCATGGCTTCACACCAGTATTAGGTTTCGTTGTCACTTCAGATTATCGTGTTTTCGTATAACACATGTGCCTATATAATTCAGATATATAATTTATTATATACCTTTTTTGGCCCGCTGATTTAGAGCAAAAATAAAAATCTAATACATCAAATTTCAAATTTATCCGCTTTAAATTGATTATAAATACATTTAGATATCATGGTAGATGTACTGAAGACAATTTAAGCGTTCAGGTGACAACTCAAACTGCTTAAAGAGTTCATATAGTGTAGATCTGTTGTCAAAGGTTAACCATTTAACCCTAGAGAAGATAACACATTGTCAGCACATGGATTAAATATGCCACAAAGCACTAACATGATTTTAGATTAAAGTGTGAAATAGCAAGGACGCCAAACCCAATCGGAAGTGCAATTTGACACCTAGAAAGTGTGTTTGCCTCCTGATGTACATATCTGGCTTAATTCAATCACTTACAAACAAACAAAAAACAAAATAAAATATATATATATATTATGAAAATAAGCAAAAAGCAAACGATTATGTAAAAACAGAAATTATTCTTAAAGTAAAACTGAAAAAAAATGGAAGGGAATGTTGGAGTTGCAATACAAAGTTGAATTCTTTACATGAATTTCTCGTCAATGCTTTTAAAATAATAATAGTCAAATGATAATAATATATAAGATATATTCGTGGAGCTCAATTTTCGAGTGTTTTCAAAACATACTCGATCATGGTCAATGTTAAGATTGTCTTTATCACAAAATGTACTATTATTCTACTATAGAGGTTACACAACTGTGACAGGTTATTCATACACCTGTTATGCATGTGCAGGGTCTCAGGTGAGGGGAAAAACTTGTCAAGTCACTATAAGTCAGGGTGTGCATTGGGTAGTAGGCTAAGCATGCAACCACCAGGTTTTTGGTCAGACACCCCATATAAGTTTGGGTAGTAGCAGACACAACTTCGATAGTGGAGGTTGCCAAGGCCAGAGTACTATAGGGACGGCTGAGTGCCTAATTCAAGATATGATTAATTGGGGAGCCTAGAACTGGAGCCTGTAAGTATAACATTATATTAACTTGGTTCTGGTGGCTGCGTTTCTGTAAATATAAAATTCCTAAGCTTTGTGCTTCGAACCTGTGTTTTGTCCTAGACTGTGTATCCATGAGACTGATATTTATTTTAGGGTGTGTTCCCTGTGCTTCGTCCAGGACTGTGTATCTATGAGACTGTACTTTATTTAGGCTGTGTTCCCTCTGTTTCGTCCAGGACTGTGTATCCGTGAGACTGAGATTTATTTAGGCTCTGTTCCCTGTGTTTCGTCCAGGACTGTGTATCCGTGAGACTGAGATTTATTTAGGCTGTGTGCCCTGTGTTTCGTCCAGGACTGTTTGTCTATGAGACTGAACTTTATTTAGGTTGTGTGCTCTGTGTTTCGTCCAGGACTGTGTATCCATGAGACTGAGCTGTTTTTAGGCTGTGTTACCGGCATTTTGTGCAGGACTGTGTGTCCATACGGATGTATGCTGTATATGTTGGACTGTGTGTTCTTCAGGCAGTGTGCCAAATTTCTGTAGGACTGTGTGTCCACAGAGTATTCCGCATGAAGTTACTTGGGAGCTAATGTATTACAAAACCAAAAACTGTATTTAAGTTAAGAAATCAAGTAAGTGATATATAGTATGGAAATTTGATTATTCCTAAATGTGAGGATGGTGTGTATTCTAGTATATAATTGAAAATGTTATTTTTTTTGTTTACCATTGTCAGTAGGTGAGATAGGTTGAGGACTTTATATAATGTACGTGACCCCAAAGATATCGAGGCCTCAAACTTATGGTGACTTCAACTGCCCAAACATAAACTGGGATACGATGACAGTTAAATTATTATTATCATTATTATTACGACATTCTTCACGGCCCGTCAACACATGGAAACATCAACCGGTAAAACCCACAGCGATCCAAAAGGAAATAACATTAAACAAACCAAAACGTAAAAGACAAATGCTAAAAATCTTAAATGGGTATATTAACACAAACGATTAAAATGGTACGTCATAGTCTACATCTTTCAGGTAATGTAGAATTTTACAAATCGCAACAGTTTCAAAAAGGGTTTTTAGACATGTAATGTTACGACAAAACAATTCTCGAGTAGACAGAAGGTCAATGCAGTCCAAAAAATGTTTAACGATGAATGGCTCATCACATCCTATGCACCGAGGATTAACTTCGCCTTCCAACATATATGAATGTGTAAGGTATGTATGACCCATCCGTAAACGGGCAAGGACAACCTGGTCTCGATGGTTTTCTCTATAGCATGAAGACCATTCACCGATGATAGGTTTTCCGGAGTGCAATATATTATTGGTGTATGTATTCCATTCCTCCTGTCACTGTGCAGTTAATATTTATTTGATGGATGGTTTCAAATCGGTAAAATGAATTTTAAAAACAACAGGTAGTAGCGATAAAACTTCCTCTGCGGCACGATCTGCTTTTTCATTGCCTGGTATTCCCATGGGCCCAGGAACCCCGCAAAAAGCAATTCGAAAGTTAAAGGCAAGGTCATGATATATGTATTACGAATGAAAATATGTCCGATGATTCTATTGCTATGACTCTGTAGAACAGAAAGAGCGTCTTAATGGATAACAGCTCTCATTAGTTTGTTTGTTTGAATATATTCAAGGGCGAGACAGATAGCTCGCGCTTCCGCCGAGAATATTGAGGCGTTGTAGAAGAAGCCACCAAGAAGTAGAAAGGAACCTTACTGATATCACATATATCACACTAGAGAATATATCCCGCTAGACCTAACCTTTACCATTTACCCTACCCTTGATTAAACATCTATCCACACCCCGGGAATCTCCTACCATTACATTGTAATCTAATATAGATACAGAACGACTCGAAAACAAACACCAGGATATTGTATTTATAGAAAGAAAGCAAATATCTAGACAACGTCATAAGGAAATAAAAAAATATGAACGATAAAGGATGCAATATCAGTAGCAACTGATTGACATTCAAAGAACATTTACAAAGGAGCCTGAACAAGAATAAAGTCAACCAGAGATTAAGAAAAAAAGCAGCACCTGTATAATCAAGACAAAAGATCACTAAAATGATCCACGTTGAAACACCACCAGAAAGAGTGCAAGGCATAAATAAGGAAAGTTGAATGGAACTATATAAACTTGGCACTATTAAAAGGAAAACAGCAACACAAAGCCTTTCTGGGAGTACGTAAAATCTTGGCAAAAAGACAACATCGGAGTAAAGCCACCGAAAGAAAAAATTATCAACAACAGCAAAGTA